GTCAATGCATTCGAGGAATGTTTTCCCCTTCCCCCGCCGTGCCAATGCACACAACTCTACCCCAGCACTCGCACATGTGACTTCGGTCTATCATTCATTAACCATTCTCTAACTAAGCCGCATCTGCATCACATCGTCAACTAAGCAAAACATGTGTATATCGTAATCCCCGTCCCAGACGGCCCATCCCACAATCAATATGGACTCCATCCCACCCATGCTCACATTGTGCTAGTGCGCCCAATCAGGCCAGCAGCAAGGCCACCACCATCTAGACAGTGTACTGTCTCTGCAACCACCCGCTCTCGGGTCGCGTCGAGCAGCCCGTCGAGGAGCTGCAGGTGCCCTGGTCATGCACGGCGTACTCGTAGAAGATGTTGGTCTTGTCCTCGATGTCCGAGGCATCCAAGTTGACGGGGTTGTTGTTGATGCCGTAGCCCTCGTAGCCGGTCAGATCGGGGTGGCAGCTGGCGTCGTTCAGGGCGGAGGTCGCGAAGAAGGCGGTGGCGTAGTGGTCGCTGTGGTCGCCGTCGCCGAAGGTGTTGTGGAAATCCTGGGTCTTGAGCTCGTCAGGGTGGAAGTCGTCGATGAGGGCCGTGAGGGTGTGGATCAGCTCGTCGCGGGTGTAGGTCGTGCCGGAGCCGTCGATGGTGGTGATGTGGTCGATCGCCCCGTCCCACAGCTTCTGCAGGCTGTCGTTGTGGTCCGCCGCGAACCCGGTGCCGTCCATGTTGCCGTCCGGCAGGTGCAGGAAGACCAGCGAGATCGACGAGTTCTCCGCCAGCGTGTAGATCGAGATGTCCTTGCCGGGGATCCCCGCGTCCGTCTCCGTCCAGCTGTTGCCCGCGATCGCCATCCGGGCGTACGCCGCCTGCGACCCCAGCTGCCGGTTCTGCCAGTAGCTGGTCCCCTGCCCGGCGTCGCCGGCCGTGAGGAAGACGGTGCGTACTGCCTGGCCGGACAGGATGTCGCGGATGAGGTCCGGGCTCAGGAAGAGGAGGTCATCGTCCTGGTGGGCGACGATGTTGAGGGTGTCCGCCAGGGCGAAGGGGACGGAGCCCAGAAGGGCGAGCTTGCTAAGGAGGCTTTGAGGCTTCATGGCTTGGTTGGAGCAATGTACACTGGGTATGGAGGACTGTGGGTATATTGAGAACGCGTGGATGAAAATGAATGAATCAAGCAGAACGCACGGCAGCCCGAGGAAGAATTCGAGTTGCAGCAGACGGCATTGCGTCTCGTTTATATTCCGTTGTATACTTCTCAGAGAGCTCAAACAAGATCATCGCGTGTCGTATGGCTCGCATTCCGGAGCCTCGGAGTGCCCTAATATAGCCATCACCCCTTGCGTGCTCGGTCTTGATGACGCCAGGCAAGCTACTCATGCTTTGTGAGGCTCGAAGCCATATGACAGGAGATTGCGGAGTGGTGCGCGTCCTGGAATACATCGTGGCTTGGTGAGCTCCGACTCAGATCGACAAAATAGTTCTAAAGGACAAATGGCGCGGTTGAGGTACGCTATGATACCGTTGGGGTTTGGCGCGCATTCCGCGGCTGGAATGAGGATGTAACACATGGAGAGCTTCGGCTGTAGGTCAGAGTAGTCGCGCTGTACCTTGGACTTGGTTGTTGTGTTGGTTGAGGACTGTTGACGTTTCATGGCTGGCAGCCACTGATCCATTCTATGGCGATTATATGCGGTCATGGGATTATTTCCCAGCTTTGTCGCACGCACGGTGACAGAACCAAGCGGAGCGGATAGCTGATCATTTAGTTGAGAATATTTGCCAAGGGGTAGAAAGTAATTGCTCTTCGAGGACCATCGAAAGCCCGGTTTCTAGGGTGATGAGGGCAATCTTGCCTCTTTTGGTGAGACGATCTGTCGAGTCAGGGTTAACTTTCTAGACGCCGACCTGCACAATAACGCTCAACCTCCTCATACCAGGCAATAACCTCCAACGAAAGTACATCACATGCGCACTTCTGTACCGCCAGGAAGTCTAGAGCTGTTTGTTTCCAATCTGTGTGACGTTTCTAGCTCCGCCGGTCGCAAGCAGACGCGCTCCAGCCTACATGAATCAAATTCACCTCCCGAGGTCTTTGGACAAGGCGTTGGCCGGCAATAGTAGCCATACCCTTTTAGAATCATTCCCTATCCCTTCCATTAGACGATGTCTTTTATTTCCAAGATAATATATGCTTGAATCAAGCTAAATTGAGAGAATACACCAGCTGGAGACCAAAATGTGCTGTGAGTTCTCTTCTTCACCTTCTTTTGTTCGAAAATGTTAGTGCAATGAGGACGGATCGGATTCGAGCGTAAGCTATATTCCAACACTGTATCAAAAAATCATGCAATTCAACTCCTTCTACAAGAGTGAAGGTTGTTCATGGAGCTACCATTCCCCAGCATGAATTTGTTATTAAATTCTATATACTTTTGGTGTCAATGAGAAAGTACTTGAACATCATGTAGCAGCTGGCCCAGAGCCTGATAAGATATCTTAATATATACTGCGGCTTTGATTACCAATCCACAATTTACATGATCAATGAATGCAGATTTCTCGTCGATTCACCGGATATCGCATACAACTATAACTCTGGTGTTCATCACAAACAAGGTTAGATCAGTAAGATGTAGAGCGTCGATTTACTCGCTTAACAACTAACAAGTACCTCGTAATATGGACCAGGTTCGGGATAGTACTCCTACTAGATCAGCACCATCGATCGCTCTCGGAAACCCCCGAGCTAGAAGCTGCACCAGATCCCTATTATGATAGCAATCTCCGGAAGATGGCACCAAAATCCACAACACTCTTCACTATCTGACGGAGCTCTCCTTCATAAGATGCAATTCAACAATGAATCCCGCACCGGCCTCAGATTAGATGCGAATCCCCGCTAAACTCACCGGCCGACGACTCCAGCAGAAGACATGATATAAATGGAAGACCACCGTGTACCAACCACTGAGTTCACCCCTCACGACAACCTCCCACACATTCACAACCACGAACCCAGCATCACACCAGCATCACACCACCGACCGAGCCCAATGGACCCTAACGTAATCCTCGACCACGGCTGGTACGACTACTTCATCCGCCGCCTCGAGGAGGGCGGGTACCGGTACTACCTCGTGGTGGGGCCGCGCTACATCTTCTGGGCGTTCCCGCCGTGGCCGGACGCCCCCGTCGTGGCGGTCGTCATACATGCGGACAAGATGGAGGAGCTGATCGACTGGCTGCTCTCGCTGGGGTTCGTGCCGTGCCTGGGGTGTGGACGCCGGCAGATCGGGCGCCACTTCCATATCCAGGACCGTCCTAGGGGGGAGGTGGAGCTGGTCCTGTATGTGCTCACCGAGACGGAGATGCTGGATCTGGATGCCGGCCGCGCGGATCGCGATGCCGATTCCCCTGGTCTGATTCTGATCTGGGTTTACTAGGGGGGTCGTTGCGGATCGGGTTCCATGCCACTGCAGTGTTGTGACTTCAATTCTAGCTCATCAGAGTTGAGAAACGAATCAGTAAGTATGGTAAGCTGTTTCCTGCTAGGTAGTCTAGTTCAATGAAATCCAACTCCTGATTAAAACAATTTAATAAGTAAACGCTTCCCGTACCAAAAACCTGCATGAGCCCATCATCTATCCACTATCGCTAACCACAACCCTAAACAAAGGTAGACCCCAACCTCACCAAGTAATACTAACCAACCTTCCCCAATACCCCCCGGCCCACGCAATCCCCATCCCCTTAACCTTCTCCTTGACCTGGACGGGCCCGTCGAACGCCAGCACGGCATTCTCAAAGATCCACCGCCCGACCTCGGTGCGACTGATGCCATACCCGACGGCGGGCTCCTCCTCCGTCCCGACGCGGACCTTCTTATCCTTGCCCTCGACCAGGAAACTCGGCCGCACAACCAGATAGCTGGCCAGCGCCCGGCCGTCCCCGAGCGCCGCATCCGCCAGAATCATCGCCTCCATCGCCTTCTTGTCCGCGTGCGGCACCTTCAGCATCCAATTGTACAGCGGCAGCATCATGACCGGCACGTCGCGCTTCGAGTCCACGCCCGTCGTGCTGATGACGGCCAGCTTGGGCTTGCCTTGCCCTTGGTTCTCGTTCTGGAGAGCCTGCAGGGTCGCCAGCAACGTGCGCATCCCGTCCTGGCACACGGTCGGGTTCTCGAGGGTCGGATGCAGCAGATTCGAGAAGTTGGGCTTGCTGCCGATGCCGCTGATGATCAGGTCGACGGTCTTCGGGGCGGAGGTGCCCGGGGTTTGGTCCGGGGCGAGGAGGGTGGCGCGCACGGCGGTGGTGTCGGTGGCGCTACCCTGGATGATGTGCAGGTTTTTGAGGGCCGGGGCGGGGAGGTTGTAGGGGGCGAGCAGGGTGGTTAGCTTTTCGGGCGTGCGCACGACTGGAAACTGTTAGTGGTCATGACAGAGGAGGAGGTGGTGGTGGTGGTGTTTTTCTTTTAGGGTTGCGTACTTGCGTTGCACTTATACCCGGCTTGGAGGGCGAGGACGAGGCAGTGCAGGGTGCAGCCGCCTGTGCTGCCGAAGAAGGCGATCGTGGGGAGGGAGTCCGGAGACGTCATTTTCGGGGATGCTTGGAGTGAATACAGTGTTGAGTTTTTTTGGATTTTGATCTGGCTTCAACCATTTTCAAGTTGTATGCTAGGACATATTTATGTGCTGGATAAAGTTTCTGTTGCCGTGGTCAGCCTTGTGTTCTTGTGTTGGTGCCTCCCAGAAAAATGCTCCGCGCAGGGACGGAGACTTTGGCGAGCCGTGATGTTTTGGCCCCGACTCCGCCACTTTCCTCGTATCGAATAGTTACTATACTATACTTCCCCACTGGAACTGTAACCGAAATGACGTTGTTTCATGAGTTTTTTTGCATGGAACTAACGCAACTACAATGCTAAAACTCACAGAGGGCAAAACACCACTAACATCGGAAGTCATGTCACACGCACCAGAACTGCATGCTATGCTACTCCCCCCTCCGCCAAGGGAACCCGCGTTCCTTACACCCATCCACCAACTGAAAATACCACCGATGCGCCGATAACCCCCTCAGCGAGGGCGAGCCTGTGCCCGTGTTGCCAGCATAATTGACCGAGCCCTCGTAGACCGCCACATCCTGGGGGCGCACGGTGACATTATCTCCGGACAGGATATGATACTCGGGGCTGATATGCACATAGTTCATGATCAGCAGCGGCAGCTTCGGGATTGGGTCGTTCGTATGTGTGAAGCGGTAGTTGCCGCCCTGATTGGTGATGAACTGCGCTAGCGCCTCGTTCCCCACCCGCGGCGACGCGTAGGCGTACAGTGCCGCCTTGTACCCGTGCGTGCGAAGATCCGCCGCCGCCAGAGTCGCGACTGCCGCGCCAAGACTGTAGCCCACCAGCACCAGGTCGTAGTCGCTGTACGCATTCTGTAGCTGTTCGAGTTGGCGGATCACCTCGCTGCGGATCAGCCTCCATGAGGTCCAGAAGCCCAGCTCGGCTAGGCAGCCGTTGCACAGCTGGGGGTCGGTGAAGACGAACATCACGTCCGCCAGCCAGTTGCGCACCGAGTAGGAGCCGCGGAACGAGATGATGCGGCGGCGGTGGGTGTGGTCCACGGCTATGAAGCCAGCGGTATCGGTCATCGTGGCACTATTCGTCGAAGCGATTAGTCGAGACTCGGCCCCAAGGGACATCGCGGCCGGATGGTATACTTGGAGAAAGCAAGCGCAATACTCGTGTTGGTGGCCTCAATGGCTGGGCAGCCGTGGTCCCAGCACCGGATCCTCGCTCCCGAGGACTTGGGGTCATAGTTGTTGCTGCAGTAGGCGGCGTCTGCATACTGTGCCCAGAATGCGAACTCGGAGAGTTGATGGGAGGAAACGTCTGACTGGGATCAGTGGCGGATTGATTGATAAGGATTGATCAAACGTGCATACATACCGCGCGCCTGCAAGGCAGGAAGGGCCTGGCTCAGCGATGCCAGCATCGAGAGCACGGCCAAAAAGCAATTGAGAAGGGCCATCCCGTGCTGGGAGGAGACTGAAGATTAAAAGTAAATGGCGGAGATGCTGTCCGGGAAATTGGAGATTGGGTCGGCTATATTGGCTTCTCAGGCCCAGCCAGGTGCAAACCTTCAGGCTTGTTCTGCAACGTGGAACACCATAGCCCTTTGACTCCCAGAGTCAGGCTCCGAGCTCACTTACTTGACAGGACAGGGAGAGCCGAATGAGATGTGTTCATCTCAACCCCGCCCGGACGGAGAAGGTGCAACCAGTGAGACGGGCTCGACCGATGCCCTACAATGGCAGCTTCCTGAGGAATTGCCGGAGGGCTGCTCCGGGATTACGTCGAGGTTGGCTCAGTCGTCTATCAATGCACATCTTGGCAGGTCGACCGACCCAGTAAAAGATTCCGATGACTTTGAAGGTTCCTTGGGAGTGACTGGGCCCACACAGAACCCTAGCAAGAGATGCTCATAAGCCTGTGATTGAGTTTCTTGGGTCACGCGCGGAATGTGCGGTCGCTTTCAGCAAAGTCAATTCATATGGATGCAGTCACCCAGAAAGAGCCATAAGAATCAATCCAGGGACTGCCAGTGTTCGGATCGCATGGCACCCATCGACCTTTGGACGGACGGACAGCAGGCAGTTCGTCCACTCTCGGGAGAATTGCCGTGCGGGGAAGTGATCGGGGAAGTCAGCATGTGGAGATCGCCGACCTTCTTATGGTATTGAGACATTGCGAGATCTGGTCTTTGGGTATGTGGAATTGAATGTCTAAGTGAAGGTAGCAATCCTGAAGTCTTCGAGACCAGCCGAGAGCTCCCATAGGGTTTCGATACTCCTGCATTAACATTGGCCTGCTTGCCCAATCGCCTGCATAAACCACATCCTGACGATCACTGCGGTCTGTCAGTGATGCTCGGGAATAGATGACTGTCAAGGAGATGCCAACACGTCGGTTCGGAGGTGTCACAGAAGCAGTGACACGGTGACAAGCAGAACCCAGCGGTCATGTGATCTGGAGAAGTCCCATTTGTGTCGACGCCCGAAGCCACAAGCAGAAAACCAGACAGACTTTTTTGTATTCCATTAGTTGGAGACACTCTTGTCAGTAGGTAGTGCCGAGAAGTAGCAGACCTCGGATCGATGTCACACTCAGCTTGGGCCGCGGCTATGGCTGACAGCGGCTCCCTCATGGCCTCGTACAACGTGAGGTTACCCAGTGTTTATCCAACCTTCCACCCCGCATTGTTTCTTCGGATGGCAACGTCCCCGCGACTGTGCTTGTTACTGGTCAACGTGGCTTGACAAGCACACTTGTCCGACCGTGGGACATATCCAGTGAATCAGGTGCCAACCCGGTTAAGAACAATTCAGCAAATGCACTGCGAGTCTGCGACTCTTAGTTTGCGAGGCTTAGGTCTGGCTGTTTATCAAAGGGCGAGAGTGAGCTCCAGAAAGATAGTCGGCACTAGCCCTGTATATGAGAATCAAACTTGGAAACAAGCGACGGGGGTCACTCTCGGCCGGCACCTCCACATGGGCGGGAGAAGAATGTCTACCTAGCTCTTCCACGATACTGCATGACACCCTCCATTCCCCTCCAATCTGGTCACATCACTTTATTGGAAAGTGATGAATAATCCGACCGATGATATTCAACAGACCGGGAGCATACATCGCCCCAAATAAGGTTGGGATACTACAATGGTGCCTAGTTGGCATCATTCGGGTCAATTCTTTGAACGGCGGTCCCTTCCCATGTGAAAAGCACCACTTCGGATGTTTTCGCATGCCTGCTTTGCTTGTTCGATAATGGCATCTTCCACAAGAAATTAGGCTATAGGATGCAGTGCAGAACCTCACCAATGGTATTTTCCCCGAAGATGACCCGACCACCACAGGAATACTAGGTACTAAGTGAGACAAGGTCAATCTATCATCAACTCAATTTACTCCGACGCGATGCACTAGATTAGAGGCAAGTTGACTAGTACCTTATCATCCTTTCTGAAGATTATCCAGCACGGCAACGACTCCACCCTTAGTGTCTTGGTCCCTGGCTTAGGCAATCTATCTGACGCCAGAAGAGGGAAATGGGTCCGATGACAAACTCTTAGTCAGGAGAACGAAGTTTTAGGCAGCTGAACTAGGCTCGAACCAGCATTCAACCAGGGACTGGACCCTGATCGACTGTAATCTATCCGTGCCGGGCCGGAACACAACCAGTCAATTCGCTCCTCGGCATGCCGAGTCCGGTGGAGTCCGATTGATAACCTTCAACGTTGTCTTCACCGGATACCCGTTTTTTGTTTCAACGTCAATGGCGTGCTGGGCTCCACTTGACAGTCTTCCCGCGGAATCATCCCGTCGCTGACAGATCGTGTCTGTATCTTTGTCTAGTTCAGGCGTGAAGGGAGAGGGAAGGGAAGGCGGAAACCGCCCGCTCAGCCTCAGGGGTAGAGCTATATAACCCTGATAGAAGCAGGTGAACATGTGCAAGAATCACCAGGTTCAGACATCTGTTTCGCCATGTTCCGACCGGTTTTTCTCCTGAGTGCCCTGACGGCCGCATTGGCCTCGCCCATCACATACGCCTCCCAGGCCGAATACGACTACATCGTCATTGGCGGCGGCACCAGCGGATTGGTCATTGCCAATCGCCTGTCGGAAAACGCCAACGTATCTGTCCTCGTGATTGAAGCGGGTGACTCCGTGCTTCATAATGCCAATGTCACGGCCGTGGATGGCTATGGGCTGGCGTTTGGCACGGACATCGACTGGCAGTACCAGACGGTCAACCAGACCTATGGCGGCAAATCTCAGATGGTCATGCGTGCTGGTAAAGCCTTGTCCGGAACCAGCGCCATCAACGGTATACTACCTCCCATTGTCATCTCTGTCTCTCAAACATGCTTACTGACTCATGTTTTTGTTTCTGCTCAGGGATGGCCTACACCCGTGCCGAAGACGTGCAGATCGACGCCTGGCAGCAAATCGGCAACGAGGGCTGGGCCTGGGACAGTCTGTTCCCCTACTACCTGCAGAGTGAGAATCTGACCATCCCAACCCGCAGTCAGCGCCTGGACGGGGCGACCTTCAACATCTCCTACAACGGCGAGCAGGGTCCTCTGACGGTGGGATGGGGCGAGATCCCGACCAATAACCTGACTGCCACGATCAACGCTACCTTCCAGGGCCTGGGGGTCCCCTGGTCTGAGGATGTGAACGGCGGCAAGATGCGCGGCATCAACATCTACCCGGCCACCATCAACGTGGCTGCCAACGTGCGCGAGGACGCCGCCCGCGCCTACTACTGGCCCGTCGCCGCGCGACCCAACCTGCACCTGCTGCTGAACACCTTCGCCAACCGCCTGGTCTGGCAGGATGAAGCCCCCAAGGGCGAGGCCGTCACCGCCGCCGGCGTGGAATTCACCACCGCCAACGGCACCACCACCATCGTGACTGCGCGCCAGGAGGTCATCATCTCCGCAGGCTCCCTGAAATCCCCAGCCATCCTCGAGCTTTCTGGCATCGGCAACGCCACCCTCCTGCACAAGCACAACATCACCGTGCAGGTGGATCTCCCCGCCGTCGGTGAGAACCTGCAGGACCAGACCAACACACACGCTGAAGCCGCCACGCACGCTACCCTGGCCGGCACCAAGTACGTCGTCTACCCGGACATCTACGACGTCTATGGCAACGAGACCGCCGCTGTGGCCGCCTCCCTACGCAAGAAGCTGGACGACTACGCCCACGCCGCCGCGGCGGTAAGCCACGGCGTCATCACGGCCGCGCACCTCAAGGAGCTGTTCGAGGTCCAGTACGACCTCATCTTCACCCAGCGGGTCCCCATCGCCGAGATCCTGTACTATCCCGGCGGCAGCGCGAGCATCTCCTCGGAATCCTGGACGCTCTTGCCCTTCGCCCGCGGCAATGTGCACATTGCCTCGGCGGATCCCATCACCATGCCCGCGATCAACCCCAACTTCTACATGTTCGACTGGGACCTGGACAGCCAGATTGCTGTGTCACGGTATATCCGGGAAACCTTCCACGCGCAGCCGCTGCAGGGGTTGGTGGAGGGGGTGACGGTGCCGCCATTGGAGGATGATGCGTCAGACGAGGAGTGGAAGGCGTGGTTGCTGGATGGGAACTGTGAGTCTGCTATCTTTTTTTTTTTTTTTTTTTTTTTGTTTCTTATCTCGTATCGAAGAGGATGGCTGATGGATGCTTGGACAGATCGCTCGAACTTCCACCCCGTCGGCACCGCCGCTATGATGCCCCGCGAGAAGGGCGGCGTCGTGGACCCCAGCCTGAAGGTGTACGGCACCCGCAACGTGCGCGTCGTCGACGCCTCGGTGCTCCCCTTCCAGGTCTGCGGTCATTTGACTAGCACCTTGTATGCGGTCGCGGAGCGGGCGGCGGAGTTGATCAAGCAGGAGTCTGCTTTGTTTTAGACTGGTCATTGTTTGATTGTATGTTAGAGAATGGCATGGACGTGATTTGATAGAGTATCTATTTTGGTCCTGTTACCGATCATTGTTAATATGGTGTAACTTGCTGTAGCATAGCACAAACCTCCCTACACCCCCCTGTCGACCTCGAACCAAAAGCCCCCAAATCCACTCGTTTGTTTATCTATTTATCTATTCGTCTATATCTTGATTCAATCCTTTTTACTTTCTTACCTTTATATTATGCCGCAGTATGCAACAGTACTTCTCGCCTTGACAACCTCCTACCCTATAGGCACAGTGCGATGACTATATTAAATTCCACCCATGTTGTATTCTGGGACCGCTCTTGGAGAGTTCAGTATAGGAAGTGGAGAACCCAAGGCTTTTGGACTTATCGGTGGCTAAGGTGAATGCCTCCTTGATTCTGAGTATGGCTCATTTCAAATATCCTGTCATTACAGTATATTACGCATTACCCTGAGTGCATTTTCGCCTGAGGGAGCAGAGGGAGAGGGGAGAGAGAAAGCTGCAGTACAGTACAGTACCAGTAACATACAGGACTTCTGTCCATTTCGGTCACCTGTTTACACGTGATCCATCTCCCTTCGGAGGATGAATGAGTGGATATCCATGATCCAGTTTCCCGCCTCCCATTCAATCTCCCTACAATTGACTTACTCGTCTTGGGACAATCCTCGCTCATTTGCCGACCGTTCTCAAACGTGGTCCGCATCTACCTACTCTGCTTCGCAATGAGTCTTACATGTTCCCGTTCCAACTGCATACCACAGTACAATGTCAGGAATCAGACTGATAAGCGAGTCCACCTATGTCTTCCTCAACCTCACGGACAACACACTGGACGATGTTGACGAATCCCTGCGGCTGGACAAGCAATTGAAGCTCGATCCTCATTCTGCGCGCTACGGGCTTGGTGCTCTTGAGAAGCTCCCACTCGAGATTCTCCACCTCACCCTCCTTGCGCTGGACGTACAGTCAATGACGGAAGTCCGTCGCGTCAACAAAAGAGCCAGGCTCGTCACGGGCTCGATTCCGCAATACCGCCGAATCCTCGCGCACGCGCCCGCCGCCATTCGCGGCAGCCTCAACCTCGAAACCGCGCGGAATTTCTCCTGTCAGGCGCTGTACAAGACACTCTCCACCGCCGAGTGTGACGGGTGCGGCGATTTCGGCGGATACCTCTACTTGCTCACCTGTCGCCGCGTGTGTTTCCTGTGCCTCACCGAGAAGACCGACTACCTTTCCCTGTCCCGGAAGGATGTGATTCGCAAATTCGGGCTGCTGGACCCTACTCATCTAGCGCGTCTGCCTCGCATGAAGAGCTTCCCGGGCCAGTACTCGCCTCGAGGGATCAAATGTCGACGCCGTGAGACCTTGTTCGATCATGGCTCCGCACGAGAAGCGGGGATCGCTGTCCATGGGACAGCCGAGGCGATGGAAAGATTCGCGTCAGAGAGGGTCTCCAAGCAACTCGAGGCTTACAATTCACGACTATCTGTGCGCCAAACGAGTCAGAGGCCCGGGCGGCCCCCCAGATCTGCAGATGCCTTCGATGGGCATTGTTCGAATCCCAGGCGTTTTGTGGGGATCATACGTGCGCCATTCTTCAGCCGCCAAACGCCATCCCCCGAATGGGGGTTTCACTGCTTGGCTTGCAAAGCCCATCATTATCGTCGGCCGCTTCACTGGCGTCGGAAGTATACTATCGAGAGTTACCGAGACCATATCAGAGAATGTGGGGAAGTGGTAGGGGGGAAGCACGTGCGGTGAATCAGCCAGGAGTAAGCCGTTGCATCTGTAGGTGAACTAATGTCCGGGGCATTTAGCAAAGAATCCTCCCGGCTAGGGTCATTGTAGCAAACTTCAGCCTACCAACTGTTCTTTGCAAGGGTCTACATCAAGAAGGTTCGGGTATAGAGGGACGGGCTTTACCGGCCAGGAAACGCTTTTAGCCCATACCACGAGATCACAGCAGCCACCCCCTCCAGTTTGATATTCTCTAGAGCACCCCGCTGGCGATGATTCGCCAGCAACCCCCGACGATGACAGTTATCCTTCGCAGTATGAGAGGGCCGTTTGATCGCGTGGGACTTGGCATGCGATCGCCAGTTGTGCCGGCTGGCGTGGGAGCGGATCGCCGCCCGCGTCGGTTTCTGTCGGAGTTGTTGGGCCGACGTGAGATTCACAAACTCGAAGACCGTGTCCATTTAGGTTTCGCCTGTTCGAGTGAGATTTGAAGTCTGCTATCAGTCACCATCGAGCAAAGAAGAGTTGTGACTTTAGTCAAGAGATGAGGATTGATGAATATCCAATCTGACATGTGAACAGTAAACATGCCCAGTGCCGTGGTCATAGCGCCGTTCCTCATTCGGACAACGTCACGTCATGTGACCGGAACACTTGGGTGAGCACCAGGTCAACTGAGATAGGAGTGCACGTTTCTTGCTGAAGATTCAGGAAATTGAATAGAGTATTCAACTCGGTTCAGGCACTGCGCTAAGTTCATGAACTTCTGCTGAAGTGTTCCCTGCTGGGTGGTATACGGGGTGAGGAAAATATATTTTGATGCGGATCCGTGGGAACATCGTCAGATGTGCCTGCGATTCGCAACCCTACCTCTTGTCTCTTAAAGAGTGACTGAGTCTAGACATTTGGTGCGATTCATGGCAGGATCTAATCCAAGGAACAACATGGCTTACTACATTGGCTCGCTAAAACCTCGTACGGAAGGACTGGCTGAAAAACAAACTGGTAAAAGAAGCAACCCAGCAAAAACGCCAACATGCGTACGAATCATGCTAAATCTCACATTGCACCCCAATTTTCAACTATATTACACAAAATTCCCGGCCCGATGCTGCGCCTCCGGCGGAGTCGCCGGAGCAGCCGCCGGAGTCGGGCTCTGGCGCAAGACTTCGCTCGTCGCTATAGAAGAGGGACGCGTCAATGGGGTGCTCAAGCCGAGCTCACTGCGGGAGGGTGCCGTCGCAAACATCACCGACGCTCGGTCGAATTTGGCCTCGCTCTGCGGTCGGCCGCCCTCGGTCAAGGATACCATCGAGTAGTCCGCGGCCTTGGCGGCTGCCCTGGCTTCGATGCGTCTTCTCTTGCGCTTGTCCCGGGTGCACATGAAGGCGGCAACGCCGATAAAGAGCAGTATCAGGATGGTGAAAGTGACGATCGCGGCAATCTCGCCACGGCGGTTGTAGGCAGCTTTAGCGGCGCTGGCGGAACTAGTGGCCGAGGCGGTGGAGGTGGTGGTTGAGGCTGTCGACGTCGTCTTGGTCGTGGTGGTTGCTGCAGTGGTAGTGGATTGTGAGGTGGCGGAGGTGGTCGTACTTGATGAGGTGGTGCTGCTCGCTGTAGAGGTGGTGGAGGAGACTGTGGAGGTGGTAGAGCTTGTAGTGGCTTCTGTCGTGCTGGAAGAAGTGGTAGTGGTGGTGGAGGTGGTTGATTCTGTCGTGCTCGTCGACGTTGCAGTCGTCGAGGTGGTAGACTCGGAGGTGGTAGAAGATGTCTCCTCAGTCGTTGAGGCTCGCTTTTGAATGAGCCAGTCCCCGTGGAAGCGCTTCGCATACGCCTTGAGGTTATTGACATCGGCCGTCTGGGTGGCTATGGGTACGGTGACGGTGACGGTTGAAGTGGGACTCCATGTTGAGGGTAGATCAGCAGCGGGGCCGGGATGAGCAGCAGTGAGAGAGGACAATGTCCCGAGTGCGATCAGATAGCGCAGTTGCATATTGTCTGGTAAGTACTCAGTTGAGCGAACTTGGCTGGTCGAGAAGAAGATTGGTTGTTGAGCAGTGGGAGCCAGATTTCTAGGCGGGCGAGACCTGCATTATCTATAGGACCGAGCATACTGGCTCCGACCCGAGCCATGACGAATCCTAGCCAAAGCACCAAGTAGTGATGATGAATTCTCTGCGTGTTAGGGTGTTCTTGTCGTCGTACGTGGTAGAACTAGGGCTGAGGCTGCCCAGTTATTTTGGTGGTTGCAACGGATGCTGGTTGGCTCGGGAGGGTCGAGTGGAGCAGTGAACGCTCAACCGGCCACGCGGCTTGCGCTCCACCGTTGCTCGTTCTCATTTTCTGGTGCTATGGCGCACCCAAATACCACGAAGTGAGATTCGATATGCGTGTCGAGAGCAACATACTCAAATGTATCCGAGTCGCCGTCGAGTTTGAACGGTATTCAATGGTTGAAAAGCACACACAGCATCAACCCTTATGTCCGGATATAGATCATTCCGAGGCGCGATAAGGAAAAAACTTTAGCCCGCGATGCAGAAAATCTTGTTCGGAGTGGATGCATGCTACCAAGTCGAACAGCCGATCGTCCGGTTCTCTCTACCACAACAAGCCTCGTAGGCTATGCCCCAGCCCCAGCCCCTCTCGCTTGTTTGACAGGCTATTTTCATCGCAAGATGAACTTGTCGAAGAAGCCTGCGCCACACCCGCTCGTTGCTCGCTGACTCAGCGGAATCTGAGCAAACCTAGATCAGCGCAGGAGTTTCTCATCTGGAAGACCGATGGGGCTAGGCCAATAGCAGACCCATTTCCATGCAATTATTTGAAGAGCGGTTGTCAACTCGACGAATTACAGCGGCTGTACCCCAATTCATCGCGACGAAAGGCATAGGGGCTCGCTGTCCTGTGGTCCAACAAAGCTAAAATGGCAGACCGCGAACCGAATGAGTCTTGACGGGGTCATGGTCAATCCACAACGCCGCGCAAGACTCCCCCAAATTGGGCATGGAGCTCAAATAAACATACCCGCTTTGTCATGGTCCACGTCAACCCCACTGAGCTTGTAGACTTTCAAGCCTCAAACCCAGTCTCAAATAGGCTACATGGCCCTTGATAGCGTTTCATAGGTGTCAAAGCCATGGGTACGTAGTTGAAAGCTCGGTGATAAGTCGATCTAGCCGCTTCCGATCCGCGGTCGAGTCCGAGTCAAGCTGGCCGCTTCGCACACAGCGGTTCGATGTGAAGATACGAGCAACAGGTTGGCGATCATAACATCGACTTGATCGATGACGGGAAGAACGCTAGAGTGCACGATCTGCAGGATGAAGAAGGGGAATTGGAAACGATCGGGGAGACTGGAGTGACGAGAGACGTTGTCAGTCAAAGGCACTAAATTTGCAGCTCGCAGGGCTGAATGACTGGTTATTCCATTCGCTGCTTCAATCGCGAGCGATGTTATAGACTCACCTATCGAAAGAGCCGACTTAATGATTGATTCTGTGGACTGGTCCAGGCCTTCCCGTCGAAGATTGAGCAGATGGAAGGTGGAAAATACCTAGAAGGTAGAAGGAGGCAGGCGGAGATAAGAGACAGCCAGACGGAGATAAACGTAGCAAACGAAGCTCGGGAGAGCTGCTCCCGTGACCCTCGGATATCCTGCCCCTCCCTCACTCACTCCTTCCTTTCCTCCTCCGTTTCCTCTTTGCCTCTTCCTCGTCGTTTCTAATCAAACATCCTATTCTAGTCTGTCTTTCATCGAAAGCAATCGCATGTGAAAAGTTTCCATCTCGTGAACTTCTCCAATTCGAGCGAGAATTGAGTGCAGACGTCCATCTCCCTCGGGCGAGGAGATAGCTGAGCTATTACCCCTCTTCCGAGTATTGGTCTACAGCTCGTATACTGACGATCATCTTGCAATCCAAACAGCAACTAATATACCACCCCTCTTTGAGGGACCAACCGGCTCGTGAAGGAATCAACTCCCCGCAACAAGCCATTTTCTCCGTGGCTAGGTCTCATAAGCGGCGGTCTAGGGTCATGATAACCCCGCGTCAGATCGGCATCCTGAATCCTGCAGGCCCCTTGGCACGGGGACAACTCGGGTGGTGGTTGCGGCGTTGGCTTTCATTTTCGCGTGCTGTTGGCCAGCAGTGTATCTTAGGTGGAAAATGAAGCAATTTACTTTTCAACAGACCGCCTCTCGTTTCCAGCAAGGGAGACGCAAGGGCACGGGGTGGTGTGAAGGTTAATCGTGCCATGAACGCCTTTCCCGTGCAGGAGCCATTCCTAAGACGACACCCTACCATTGGTGCAATGAGCTTGTTCCATGATTGCAGGGTCGTAGTTTATGACTAAGTAGTCAATTCTTTCCCCCTCTTCATCTTCTGCCTTTCATGACCTGATCTTGGATACATCCACCAAGCGTCCCTCGCCAGATCCCTCTCCCTTTGAATCCTTTTCACTATGGCACTGACCCCTGAAACCTCAGACTCGTCGACAAGTCTGCTTTCGAGATGCTACACTCAAGAGCCCATTGCCATTGTGGGCATGGCCTGTCGACTTCCTGGCCAAAATGACTCGCCCCATCGCTTATGGGAGTTCCTTATGAAGGGTGGTGTGGCAGATACAGAAGCTCCCGAAACGCGGTTCAACCGAAAAGGCCATTACGATGGCTCAGACAGGCCACGCACTTCACGATCCTCTGGCGCCATGTTCATGGAAACCGTGGATCCTGCCGCTTTCGACGCCAAATTCTTCAACATAACTCCCCAAGATGCGATATCAATGGATCCTCAACAACGAATACTGTTAGAGGTCGTCTACGAAGCGCTCGAAAACGCTGGCATCTCTCTCGAGTCAATCTCGGGCGAGAAGTATGGCTGCTATGTGGGTGCTCACCCCGGAGGTAGGCCCGTCAGCTACAGAACACTTCCTTGCAACCACATTGACACCCATCAGATTACTGGGATATCTTCGCACGCGACCCCGATGCGCGACCGCCCAACGTAGGTATTGGGTGCTCCGGAACGATGTTGAGTTGCAGAGTGAGCCATTTCTTGAACATCAAGGGTCCCAGCATGCCCATTGATACGGCTTGCTCCAGCTCGTTAGTGGCTATGGACGTCGCTTGCAGAGCTCTGCATACTGGAGAGATCAGCGGAGCAATTGTGGCAGCATCTAGCCTAATTCTCAAGTGAGTGATGACTCGATTGCGCCAATCACGTCAATGATGCTAATTTGCGCAGTCCGGAATATGCTTGCGAAGGTATGCAGGCATTCCACAGCTTGAAGCAGTCATGACTTACAGTCCTAGGTGGCACAATCAGATATACGCACTCTCCCACCGGTCGCTGTCATGTCTTCGATGCTAAGGCCGACGGCTATGTGCGAGCGGAGGGCATGAATACGGTTATTTTGAAACGCCTCGATGACGCACTCCAAGATGGCGATCCAATTCGAGCTGTCATTCGAGGAATTGCAAACAACCACAATGGTCGCACCCCGGGTATTGCCTCTCCTAGCGGCGACGGCCAGGCCGCAGCGGTGCGACAGGCCTACGCGAATGCAAACATCACAGACTTTTCTCAGATCGGATACCTTGAATGCCATGGAACCGGCACTCTGGTCGGCGATCCGATCGAGACTGAGGGTGCCTCCTCGGTCTTTGCGCCATATAGACCAGATGATCGACCCCTGCGGATAGGATCGGTTGGAACGCCCATTCAGATGACAAACACTATAAAATCATGTGATGGAAGCTAACTTTGCATTAGATCAAGAGTAACATTGGACATTCTGAGCCAGCCGCAGGCTTGTCGGGAATCTTGAAGGCAGTAATGATCCTCGAGACTGGGAAGATTCCAGGCAATCCAACATTTCTTACACCAAATCCCAACAGTATGTCTCGCATCCACTTCATGTGCTTTTGCTAATTGTCGCAGTCGACTTCAAGAAGTTGAAACTAGAAGCCTCACGGCATGTGACAGACTTTCCCGACATGCCATTCCGCCGTGTTGGCGTCAACTGTTTTGGTTTCGGTGGGTCGAATGCGCACGCGATCCTTGAGGAACCAAACGTTGTTCTCCAGGGCTATAAACCGACATATACATCCTCATTCCATAATAGCTTGGGTGATGAGGAAGAAGCGACCACTACTCGACCTTATCTGCTGTGCTTTTCAGCCAATGATGAGGCATCACTCCGTCGCTACATACAAAACATGACCCAGCATACGGAGGATGAAAAAGTCAAGCTCAAACTGCGAGACCTTGCCTATACGCTCGGTACCCGAAGAAGCCATCTTTTCAATCGAGCTTATATGATTGCCGATAGCGCAAGCTTCTCGCAGCCTACCCTCGTCACGTTTGGCAAGAAAAGCGCCCGGCCGCCTCAGGTCGGCTTCGTCTTCACGGGCCAGGGATCTCAATGGCCAGAGATGGGTCGTGAGCTACTCCAGGCATTTGAGCCTGCGCGTGAGATGATTGGGAATCTTGACAGCGTACTCCAGTGCTTACCCGACCCGCCGAAATGGACTCTGTTTGAGGAGCTGACCACTGCTCGAGATGCGGAGCATGTACGGAAACCTGAATTCAGCCAGCCGCTTGTGACAGCACTTCAACTCGCTTTGATTGCGGTTCTTCGTGGTTGGGGAATTGTGCCGAATGCTGTTGTCGGCCACTCGTCTGGTGAGATCGCGGCCGCCTATGCCGCTGGGTACCTGACAGAGGCGGAGGCTATCATCATCGCGTACCACCGAGGGAAAGCATCTGCGGATGAGAAGCCGGATGGCGATGCACTGGGAATGTTGGCCGTAGGCATCGGAGCTGATGAAATCGTCCCGTTCATGGATGGCTGCGAAAATGTTCAGATTGCTTGTTACAATAGCCCCAAAAGTCTTACGTTGTCTGGCAGTAAAGCAGGACTCGAGGAGGTAAGGTCGCGACTGGTAGAAGCAGGTGTCTTTGCGCGCATGCTGCAGGTCGATATGGCCTATCATTCTGCGTACATGGAAAGTATTGGAGTAGCCTACGAGAGGCTGTTGGCGAGAGATCTGCCTCCAACCTTCCACGGCAACAGGGCACTTGACTCAGTGTCCATGTTTTCGTCGGTTCATGGCTCGAAGCAAGAGCAGGCACCCGACGTTCATTACTGGAAGACTAACATGACGTGCCCCGTTCGATTCGACGGCGCTGTTCGCTGCATGCTGTCCGAAGAGTCTCCCATTGACAAACTCATTGAGATTGGTCCGAGTGGTACCCTCAAAGGACCTATTGCACAGATCACGGGTAGCATGGGCAGCAAGGTGACCGGTACTGCCTACCTCGCGGCGCTCAAACGAGGTCAAGGCTCGATCCGCGCGACGCTTGAAGTCGCCGGTGAGCTATACCTCTCCGGTCTCCCCGTTGACATGGCACAGGTCAACGAAGATGCGGAGCCCTCCGCGCCGCGTATCGTCATCGACCTGCCCAACTACTGTTGGAACCACTCCTCGAGGTACTGGAATGAAAGCGCCGCCAGTCGGGATTGGAGGTTCAAGAAGTTTGTTCAGCACGATCTGATCGGCAGCAAGGTCCTCGGCACATCCTGGCGGGCACCATTGTTCAAGAAGACGATGAACTTGACCAATCTGCCGTGGCTCAAGGATCACCGCATTGGGTCGAACGTTGTCTTTCCGGGTTCCGGCTACCTCGCCATGGCTGTTGAAGGAATTTACCAGTTACAGTCAATGAACGGCCTAAGCTCTGCTGAGACCGCGAGTGAGCTATGCTATCACTTACGTAATGTCCGCTTCGAAATGGCTCTCACGCTTGAAGAAGGAATCGAACCAGATGTATACTTATCTCTCAACCCTCTCCCGGGATCCAAGGATGTGTGGTACGAATTCTTAGTGTCATCCAGTCATGCTGGCGGTGCCACAATCAAGCACGCGGGTGGTCAGATCCGCGTTCAAGACCCTATTTCCGACGTCGCCTCCAGAAGAGACATTGCACCTCTCGTAAATCCTACGGCCGGAGATCTCTGGACCAAGGCGTTTGCCGAAATGGGATTCGAATACGGCCCGGCATTCTACCTACTCGAAAAAGTCGAGGCGCACGCGGGCAAGCGTTATTCTCGTTCTCTGGTGACGCTCTCTGAGCCTTCTGCCGCTGGGAAGGCTCAGTCGCACTATCCTTACCATCCTGCAGCTCTTGATGGCATCTTTCGAGCGACAGCCCCCGCATTCTGCGAAGGACTTCGTACACGCCTCAAGGAACCTCTCGTTCCATCAGCATTCGACGACCTGATCATCAACCCGAACCCGAAACGCCCAGCCTCGGGAATGGCTGTCGCAACCAGTGCATACTCCGGCAGAGGGCGCGAGGATACTGGAAAGAGCTTTTGGTCTGACGTCTCCATGTACGACCCTGATACCGGGGCGTTGCTCATGCAGTTGAAGAACTTTTCAACCCATCTTATCGACCTCGGGGTGGATCCCATTGCATCACAGTGGCTGACCCGCGACGTCTGGAAGCCGGATGTTACCACTTTGATGTGTGATGCGCTGTCAAAGCTGAATGTTCCTCAGGAGGAGTCGGTACCGTATCTTCTTGATTTGATGGCTCACCGGAATCCTGTCTTGGCTATCTTGGAGATTAACCTAGGAACAGGAGCTGAAACTAGCACGTGGTTTGAGAGAAAGGGCTCCACTGCTACGGAATCCTACCGTAAATACTGCTGCTTGGGAGAGGACATCGAGGCACTTGACCGATTTCAAGCTCGCTATCGGGAAAGAAAGAACGTTTCTTTCTCCGTCTATGACCGAGAAGACGCGTCGCTTGGACTAGACTCTGCAGAGGCTTTTGATGTTATCATTATTAACTACAGCACTGAGCAGGAGATAGCTTCTCTATCGAGGACCGCGAACGCTCTCCTCTCACCTGACGGACGTATTTTACTCACCGGGCTAAAAACTCAAAATGCGGCGGACCAATCAGCGCAGATTGATAAAATCGGGTTCTCGCAGGTCTTACCAATCCCTCAAGCCGACAGCCTGGCATATCTATGTGGTTCATACCCGGCCGCCAAGAAGAGTGGAAATTCCAGATCGCTTCATGTGTTTCACATGGAGCCATCCACATGTCTGACTCAGGCGATCCGGGCACGTTTCCACGCGGCCGGCTGGGATACAATCGAGCATGTCTGCAACCCTGACAACATTCCCGAGTCCAGCACTGTCTTGGTCATTGATGAGCTCTTTGCCCCAGTCCTGCCTCAGATCTCAGACCAGCAATGGCAGTGTCTGCGTGGACTCGTCGGACGAGGCTGTAAGATCTTATGGGTCACACATGGAGGACAAATGCAAGTGACGGAGCCAGACAACGCTATGATAACTGGTCTGTTCCGCTCAATCCGATCTGAAGATCCGTCGGCGGTGGTCATGACGCTGGATGTCGAGAGCCGGGACGATCCTTTTGCACCGAGCGCCATCGTGCACGCCTTAGCTCAATTGAGTCGTCAACAAGCCCGCTGGGTTACAGACTGCGAGTACGCCGAACGCAATGGCATCATCCACATCCACCGCGTTGAACCATATAAGCGTCTGGACAAAGCCATTGAAGAAGAAACCGACACCCCGATCTTGACCCGGATCCACGATCTCGATTCGACTGTCCAGCTCAGAGCCGAGAGACTAGGCACACTTGACGGACTTACCTTCTGCGAAATCGCCGAAGCCGCCTTACTAGACCATGACGTCGAGATTGAAGTGCAGGCTGTTGGCCTCAACTTCAAGGACGTGGCCGTCACGATGGGTATTGTACCTGAGAACGAGTACCTTCTTGGCTTGGAGGGCGCGGGCATCGTAAGACGGGTGGGAGCTGGACTGTCCCTGGACCTTGTAGGCAGGCGCATGGCTTTCATTATCAAGGGATCGTTGGCAAACCGAGTCCAGGTGCCGATTGGTTACACTCATGAAATTCCGGCGTCCATGTCGTTCGAAGAGGCGGCTAGCATGCCGGTCGTTTACTCCACGGCAATCTACTCCCTGTTCAACATTGGCAATCTTCAAAAGGGCCAGAGGGTATTGATTCATTCGGCAGCCGGAGGCGTGGGTATCGCATGCATCCAGCTTGCGCTGTACGCCGAAGCAGAGATATTCGTGACGGTTGGCACTGGTGAGAAGCGACAGTATCTGCACGAGACGTTCGGCATCCCATTCGACCACATGTTCACTTCCCGGAGTACTGCGTTTGCTGCGGAGATCATGAAAGTCACGAATGGCGAGGGTATCGATGTTATTGTGAACTCACTCACGGGCGAGTTGCTCGATGCTACCTGGCGAATCTGTGCCGACGGAGGCACGATGGTCGAGATCGGCAAGCGGGACATTGTCGAGCGCAATTATCTGTCGATGGAGCCGTTCGATCGCGGCTGTTCTTACCGGGCCGTCGATCTCTCTCATGCGAAGATCATGCGTGATGGGGTGCATTTCAAGTAAGCCGTCCCCAAGATAAACCATTGACCATACCTAACCACCCCCTACAGGCTCATGCAGCGCATCTTCGAACTCATCGCCGGAGGACATATCACTCCCATAACACGCATTACGCCGTTTTCGATGACCCAGATCCCCGAGGCATTCGCCTATCTCCGGAGCGGCAAGCACATCGGCAAGATCGTTATCAGCGACGGTGCAGCAACAGCAGACGTAGCAGTGCCCGTCCGCCGGTTGCAGCACAACGTGACCATCACCGACACCTCAGCCTTCCTCATCGTCGGCGGCCTCAAAGGCCTCTGCGGCAGCTTTGCCATGCGCCTTGCCTACCGCGGGGTGCGCCACATCGTCATCATGACCCGCAGCGGCTGCCGCGACCCACGCTCGCAGGCCGTGATCGCGCAATGCCGCTCACTGGGCTGCGAGATCTACGACTGCCGCGGGGACGTGGCGCGCATTGTGGACGTGCGACGGGCCTTCACGCGCGCCCCCTACCCAATTCAAGGAGTCATCCACGGCGCAATGGTCCTCCGCGACAGGCCATACGAGACGATGACGGTCCGGGAATTCCACCAAGCGATTGAAGCCAAGGTGCACGGCGCATGGAACCTGCACAGCGTGGCGACCGAGAAACGCCTCCCGCTGGACTTCTTCCTGTGTCTGTCCAGCATCTCCAGCGTGGTCGGCAGCAAGGGCCAGGCCAACTACGCCGCGGCCAACAGCTTCCTCGACTCCTTCGCCGCGTACCGCCGCTCCCTCGGCGCCCAATGCCTGACGGTCAACCTCGGCGTGATCGAGGACGTGGGCGTCATCGCCGAGTCAGACGCCCTCTCGCAGCGCTATCAGCGCTCCATCGAGACCACCGCCATCCCCGAGAGCGCCCTGCACGCGATCCTCGATGCGGCACTGTGCTGCCAGGCCAGCATCACTACCGACTCCAACAACCCACCGATCACGCAGATGATCACCGGCCTCGCCCTCCCGCAAGACCCCGAGCAGTCCATGCTGCGCTTCGATCCGCGGTTCCGCACGCTCTTCGCCGTCAACGGCGCCGAGTCATCCTCTACCGCGGGTGGATCCGAGAGTAAGACCGACCCCCTTGCGCGCGCGGTGCAGCAATTCCACAGACTGGTCCAGGTAGACAAAGAGACGGAGCCCGACGAGCAGCTCGTGCAGAAGACCTGTCTGGAGATCCTGGGCACGCGGCTGGCGCAGATGCTGCGGTGGGACGACTCGCAGCAGGTGGAGCCGGGGCAACCCCTGTCGGTGTACGGATTGGACTCGCTGGCAGCGGTGGAGTTGCGCAACTGGATCAAGGCGGAAATGGGGGCGAACGTCAGTACGTTGGATATTGTGAACGCGGATAGCTTAGTGATGTTAGGGGGCAGAGTGGTGGCTAAGTTGCGGGCTGAGCGGGAGAGGGGGGTGGATCGATAGACAGACTTCCGTTTGCTTGTTTTATCTGATTATACATGAATCCGAATACACGACTATTATCCTGCTCGCTTTGGGAATCGTAAACACTACTCGTACCATTACCCCCCGACCCCGGGTTACCGATCCAGAATGCGATGTCATCACCCCAACCCAGGCCAAGCAGCATCGAACCCCAGATCGAACCCCAACGACCAGTTCTCGTCCAAGAACGGCCACTGCACCATCTCCGACCCCAGCTGCTGCTCGACATAGTCCGCAGTAGCCGTGCCAGTGCTGCCGGCTCCAGTCGTAGTCGGCACCTGCGAGACAATTCCCCCAGGAGCCACACCTCCACTTCCCCGCGCAACTCTACTACCACTACCACTACCGCCGGAGTCAACCTCGACACGAGCATCGCCCTCCCCGCTCCTCGACCGAGCAGCAGAGATCTCCGGCCTCTCGACCCGAATATCCCCATACTCGTCCAACGTCCCCGCCAGGGTAAGATGATCCGGCCTCTGCATACTCGGTTCCACCGCGGACGCCGCATTCGTCCCCGACAGACTCCCCGGCAGCTTGGCAGTGGAATAGAACCGGTTCGCTTCCTGGAGGGTGCGCCACTGCCGACATCCATCAACCTATGCCCACGACTACGACCATGCCCATGCCCATGCCCATGTCACACCCACACTCCAAATCACAAGCATCACCAACAGAACCACCTACAACCGAGACGGAGGAGCAAAGGAAAAGGGAGGAACGTACCCAACTATGCCCGACAACCCAATACCGACACAACCGCTCGAGGTAATCGAAGTTGCGCTTCTTCTCGTGCTCGGCGCGCGCGCGGCCGCCGGGGTACCGGGCCGGGACGACGGAGCCGTACATGTTGATGTGGGCGGCGACGAAGACGCTGTAGCCGGCGTAGGAGGTGATGACGGGGGTGCCGGAGGCGTCGAGGGCGGCGATGATGCTGCCGATGTGCTGGGCGGCGGTGAAGAGGTGGTCGAGGGCTTTGTCGGGGTCTGTTTCGGTTTCGGTTTTTGTGATTGTGGTTGGGGCTGGCGGGTAGGTGGAGAGGAAGGCATCGCGGTAGAGGAAGAGACGACTCATGAAATACACCAGGTTGATGTAGGCGAACAGCTCCCCGTACCCCAGCGCGACGTGGGCCTGGGCGCTCGTCTCGGGGAACCGCACCGTGACGTCCTGCAACTCGCGCCACTCGTCCAGCTCCCCCTTGAGGGTCGTCCACATCCCCACGGAGTCGCCCCCGGCCCGCCCGCGGCGGTTCTCATTCGCGAACCGCAGGATCCGCACGAAGATGTCGAACCCGCGCGTCACGATGCTCAGCCCCCGGTCGATCGTCAGTAATCCCTTCACCCGCGACGAGGACCCCTGCGTCATGTCCCGCGGCATCAGCCGGGTCGGACACACCCGTCCGAATGTGAAGTCTTGGTCGCTGATCGGCAGGGGCACCAGGATCTGTCGGAACGAGAGGGCAATGTGCTGCCGCGCGCCGGAGCTGAGCTCGCAGTCCTGCGCGAAGCAGCACCAATACGTGCGGACAAGCTGCTCGTAGGCGATTTGGGTCTGTGGGGCCGCGTGGAAGTCTTCGGGGTTGTGCTCCATGCTGTCGTCGGCGGTTTTGAGGAGGGTCTGCAGCATGTAGGTTGCCATTCCTGATGCTTATGTCAGTACGGTGGGGAGAGGGGTGGGGTGCGGGGGAGAAGGGGTGCGTACCGCTGTACATCCACGCACGGTAGGGATGGCCGGATCCCCATTCGTACAGCGAGAGCATGACCAGGGATTGCGCGAGGTAGAGCGAGGGCGCTTCGAAGGCGCGATGGGCGAGCTGCGTCCGCGCGTAGGTGGCGTACGTCTCCTCGGGTGAGAGATCGTCATCGCTCATGAACCGCACGCACAGCGAGAGGAGCGAGGCTAGGAAGACGGGGTCCACGGACGCGAGATCGTTGGACAGGTCGGCGATGAGGGAGGGATAGTGCAGGAAGTTCACGACGGGGAAGCGCTTGCGGTAGATATCGCAGGCGTTGATCAGGGTGGCGGTCGAGAGGGTTGCGATGGGCGTGGCTGGTGTACTGGGCATGACAGGACTGCTGAGCTCTGGCGCGACATCGGTTGCTCTGCTTGCGCGACGCAGCGTGCTACTGGGATATGGAGTGATGGATTGGCGACTGCGAGGCGTACGTATCGCCGCGGGGGAGCGTGGGTCGGTGAGCACGCAGGTGTCGTCGCGGTTGAGGCGGTGACATCGACGACAAGGGGGTTGGCCATCGTGCACGCATTTTACTTTCGACCGGCTGGTTTCATTAGTGATTGCGTAGCAGTACAATGGGATGTGGTGATGGGTGGCCTACCGACAGCTGTCGCAGGAGATGGACAGACGCATTGCGGAGACGATGCGATGAAAGACAGAAAAGCCGAGGATCGGGAATGGCGGGATTTGGGCGGCTCGGAAATGATAGGGTTTGTTCTGCAGAGCCCGCACGGTGGAGCCCTCTCCGGTGTTTCTCCTTTCTTGCCTTTCCTTATCATTCCTGGATTGGTTTCGCTCTTGACCGGGCCGGGAATTGCGCTTGACTCGGTAGCCGTTGAGAATTTGGTTATGGACTGGCACTGATATCATCCTGACTCGCAAGGTGGTAAACTTCCTGCCTGAGGCAACGGCATTTGCATCGGAAGAAATTGTTCCGTGCTTCGTCAGCACCTCGTTTCTGAGGCAGAAATACCACGTGACCACACAGAGTGTCGCATCAAGCAAATAGTGCAAACACACCGCATTGGGGTGTTTTCCGCAGCCCGTTGTTGGAGTATCCTCGGCCATGTCTTTGATCACCCCGACACATTATGTTACGCTGCTTGAATTTGCCTGCATCATTGATGCCAATATGCATGCCACCTCCGATTCGAATCTCAGTTTCTCGGATCCTATGGCATCGAATCCCCCAACCGGGGTTTTTCTCACGCGAAGGCTCCACAGTGGCCGGGAACCATCGCATCGAGTACAAGTGGATCAAAGGTGTGGAGACACTCGAAAACTACCAGCCTGGGGGATATCATCCCATCATGATTGGCGACCTCTTACATGACCGATATCACATTGCCGATAAACTTGGATCTGGCGGCTATTCGACTGTCTGGCTTGCTCTGGACACCCATCTGAAGCGATATGTTGCCCTCAAGGTCAACGCAGCAGACTCGCTTTCGAGTGAGACTGCTGTCCTCAAGGCTTTATGCGCTCCCCTCCCGCCATCAGCAGCTGTGCATCCCGGACGTGGCTTAGTGCCTGTGCTACTAGATGAATTCGAGGTGCATGGTCCGAATGGAACTCATACGTGCTACACGGTGACCCCTGCTCAATGCAATCTCCGCGAGATCTCCTTCAGCCGTCTTTTCCCTCTCGATGTTGCGCGAGCTTTGGCGTATGGACTTACGCTGGCTGTAGCATATACACACTCACAAGGCTATGTTCATGGAGGTTCGTCATGCTGTCACAGACTTTACTCCAATCCAATTGTCCTAGCAGACTAACATCGAGAAACAACGAGACAGACATCCATCTAAACAACGTGCTCGTCAAACTGCCATCGACCTTCGATGACCTTTCCATCGCACAATTCTATGAGAAGTACGGTGAACCAGAGACAGTCCCTGTTACTTGATGCGACGGGGAGCCACTACCCCCTAACACCCCAGCCAAAGCAGTCATTCCGCTGTTCCTAGGCAAATACGCAGAGCACTTCTCTATATCCGATGCCCAGCCCCTCCTCACTGACTTTGGCGAAGCGTTCGCCCCGGCTTCAGAAGTACGTCTTGGGCAAGACTGCCATACGCCACCCGCGTTCCGGGCGCCAGAAGCCAAGTTCGAATCACAGAGGCCACTTGGCTACCCTTCGGACATTTGGAGTCTGGCAACAACAATCTGGGAGATCATCGGTATGAAGGCCATTTTCAGCACCGATATCGTACCTGAGGATGAGATTACGGCGCAGCAGGTTGATGTGCTGGGGCCTATGCCTGCAGATTGGTGGCGGCGTTGGGAGGGACGGTCGAGTTTCTTCGAGGAGGATGGTTGTCCTACGGAATCCTACAAGGGAAATCGATGGCCTGCACTTGAGGGGTCATTTGAGGTGGGTGTGCAGAAATGGAGACGAAAGGTGGGAGACGAGATCAGCGAGGATGAGAAGACTGCGTTTCTGGATTTAATGCGTCGGATGCTGGCTTTTCGGCCGGAGGAGCGGTTGACTGTCGACGAGGTGCTGGAGTCGGAGTGGATGGTGAGATGGGCTTTGCCTGAGTATAAGCGGAGTCAACATTGTGCGACCTGAGATATGCCACTTTATGATGGTGTGGAGGTTGATTGCTGGTCTCCAAGGTGAAGGTGAAGATGCGCGCTGGTCAATAACCTTGTCTGCTGTATGGCGTCTGTGAAGAGCTCCCCCGTCACGGTTCAGAAACCTAATAAGTTGTTGTGCCGTATATCAGTCGGACGGCTACACTCCCGGGTTCTGGAGAACGTCGAAGGTACGAAAGTCATGAGTCGCTCAACTGGAGGAATGACCGAGATAATACTTGTTGCGACAAGCATGATCTGCTTGACCATGCCAAGTATGACAACGTCATTTGCCGCATTTGGTACGATAGCGGTTAATCCCCACCTCTTCCCGTGAAATTCTGCTAATTCACCAGAAGAGGCAATTAGCGACAATTCATTCTGGTAAACACCCCGCTTATCTACACAGCCTCTGAACTTCCCCTCCATTGTTTCTTCATCTCTCATCTACTACCTCTCAGCCCGAAATGACGCAGACAAAGATCCAACGTCACCTCCAAGAACGGTCTGCTCTGCTGGATCAAGAGAAAACCATCCGCCATGACCATGCCTTCAAGACAAACATGTCTACCACGGCGCAGAAGGCCGCGGAGATAGTCGCCCGCATCCGCCAGCGGGAGTCGGAGATCTTCTGGACAACCCCTGATGGAAGTCACAGTGAGGCCAAGCACCCCGTCGTGTTTCCTGGCATGTCATTCGCTATCTCGCGCAATCGGATGCACAAAACCTCGTTGTGGAGAATCGTGTCCGCTATGCCCAAGGGCTGTCTCCTGCACGCCCACATGGAGGCGATGATTGACATCGACTGGATGCTCGACCAGGCGCTGCAGATCCCCGGATTCTGGATGTCCAGTCCCGCGTCACTGATGCTTGGCGCTTCAGCGAACCCGCCAGCCTTTGAATTCCACTACCGTCCAAGCCGGATGGTCGCTGGAGCCACTGCATCCATCTGGGAAGCCGATTACTCTCCAAACGAGCTCATTCCCATCGCTGAAGTCGCTCGCACTCATCCCAGCGGGGTGTCGGGATTCAAATCGTGGGCCATCTCCCAGATGACCATCACCGAGGATGAGGCTCTCTACCACCATCACCGCGGCATCGTCGACATCTGGAAGAAATTCGCCTCTTGCTTCCGCGGCATCGCTGGGCTCTTCTACTCGGAACCTATCTTCCGTCGCTGTGTCCCCCGGCTCCTGCAGCAGCTACATTCCGACGGGATCAAGTACGTCGAACTGCGTCTCGTTCCGCGCCCGTTCCACCGGACGGGGTCGGACACCCCTGAACTCGACACCCACTACTTCCTCGAATGCTTCGCCCAGGAGCTGCAGCGGTACTGCTCCTCCGCGGACGGCTCCGGTTTCTGGGGCGCCCGCCTCATTTGGACCGCCATCCGCAGCCTACCAGACGACCTTCTGCGCGCATCCATGCAAGACTGTCTCTCCAGCAAGGCCGCTTATCCCGCGGTGATCGCCGGTTTCGACTTCGTCGGCCAAGAGGATCTCGGTCGCCCGTTGGTCGAGCTCCTCCCGCTCTGTGAGTGGTTCCAGCAACAATGCGCCCAACGCAACCTCCAAATACCGTTTTTCTTCCACGCTGGCGAGTGCTTGGGGGATGGCGATGCCACCGATGCGAACCTAGTAGACGCAATCCTGCTCAAGTCTCGTCGCATTGGCCACGCGTTCTCGCTGTACAAGCACCCCGTGCTGATCGAAATGGTGAAGAATCAGAAGATCCTGATCGAGATGTGTCCCATCTCGCACGAGGTCTTGCGTCTCACGGCGAATATCCTCACGCATCCGATGCCGGCGCTGCAGGCGCGCGGGGTGGCGGTCTCGTTGAACAACGATGATCCCGCAATCCTAGGCCATGGGGGGAATGGGCTTAGCTATGACTTCTATCAGGTGCTGCTTGCATTTGAAAACACGGGACTTGGGGGCCTGGCGAAGATGGCGGAGGATAGTGTACGGTGGGCTGCTTTTGAGGATGAGGACGAGACGGCGTGGTTGGAGGGTGTTGAGGGAAGGGTGACTGAGGGAGTCAAAGCCGCACGGCTGGAAAAATGGCGGACTGCATTTGAAGATTGGTGTCAGTGGATAGTCAAGGAGTTCGCAGGTGAACTTGAGGATGGGGTCGAAGAGTAGACAAGGCATCGATCGATGAGGTACAAACTGATGGTCATTGATGCCTAAGGCATCAATGTATGCTCCTTCCGGATCTCCAACATGGAATCCATGATAAATACATGTTTCACCAATGTGTAACTATATGGCAAAGTGGCAATATCCCGACATCTCTAGCATAGCCATGAATTCCTACCTGGCCAGGACGTCCTTCCTCCTTCGTCTAGATCTGCTGCAGGAGGCCTTGAGGCAGGAAGCCACGTGACTCTCGTAGCGCCTTCCCCTTGTCTTCCTCAATCATGTCTGGGGTTCTTTCAAAGATGTAGGAGCTCAGAGTGATGCCAACAGCCAATATGGCAGGCCATGTTGCCGTGGGATGCCAAGAGCATCATTTCACGCCGAGTCACTGAACAAAGGAAGCTGGGCTCTTTATTCACACGTGACCGAATTCAGAGTATGGCATGGATCGAAATCCCCAGCGCCTGCTACTGGGTCTTTGTTCCCTTCCCATCTCCTCTCTCGTCCATTTCGATATCAACAGCAATGCGGTCAGAAATTCGATAGACGTCCGGCATCCTTGGATGTCCGGCAGAGACATATTGCTTAAACTTCAGGTCGTTGTCGCGCACTGAACAGCGTTTGCTATGTCTAGTACATCACATTCTGCGTGCTCACGCTGAGCCACTCCTCTATGGTGAGATCTTCCGGATCTGGAGGGAGCCCCATCCTTCTCTAATTTCCCTCCTTCGCACAATTTTGCGCCGGCCTCAGCTGGCCGCTTACATCGAATCCTTCCACCTCGATATGACAGCCTTCCATGAGTACTACCCAGGTGTTGGACGGTATCTCCAGGGTCTCCGTCTCGTTGATGGACTGGATGAACACATCGCATTCATACGCAGGACTGGCGTTCCACACAGCAGGTCTTGGATCCGAAGATTGCGCCATGGAACTACAGATGCTTTCCTCGCTCTCCTCTTGGCGCAACTCTCAGGTCTACGATCTTTGCACATCAGTGGTGTTGTGGATCGACACGCCAATTTGGTCGGTTTGACACTCGTCTCCGCCATCTGTGAGTCGGGAAGGTATCGACTGCCCATTTTCCAGCATTTACGAGAGGTGAATCGGCGCGGGTGTAGACGGTGCCCCAACTGTAGTCGAGGCGGCCATCTACACCTATACTTTGATCATCAGTCACAATTGTCATGTTTTCGTGGAGTAGGCGCAACAATCTCCATCGTGCGTATCCTGGGTGGCTTTCCTACATCGTGACACATCGAAGCCCCTGCGATCTTGGGTGCACAGCATTCGTTTGTAAGAGATCAGTAGGTACACCCGGTTTAACGTGAGGGGTTGTTTCTTCTATCGACCTACCAATCCGGTTATCTGACCACAACAGAGCGTTATGTGCTACTGCTTGCCCGGCCGGTTGTAGTTCTGTCGGGGTCCAAGCTCAATGGGTGTGCAAATTCCTTTTTGCTGACAGTGGTCATGATGGACGAGTCACTTGGAGTAGTGAGCATATCACTATGCATTGGCCACTATGAATGGTCAATCAGGATAGGGGTTCCTGATGTTGAACCTTTGGCTCTGGTGGAAAGTATATATATTTGAACCTCGACTGATGAGAAACGGTCCAGGCCGTCTATCAACATCGTGTTTATTAGGTAGATGTCATGTACTCCGTAGTCTGAACTGATTTGCAGCACCTCCACGAACGGTGTACATAGAAGTAGATGGAGCTGATCTACTCTACATACTCCTCATCCTCAGCTTCTAGGTCAGGTTTCCGAATTGAGAAAAGGGCTAGGGCAGGCACGGGGTATGGCCGGTCGGATGAGTCGGGCTTCACCGCCTTGATCGGGAATAATTCGGCTCTTCAGTTGGGGCAACTCCACTCAACTTCATCTCCAACTCTCCTCCCCACTTGAATCATCAAGCATCGATCGTAAGATCAACTCCAGCTCCACACCACGAAAACGAAAATTGACGGTCATGACTCATTAACATTATTACTCTCTATTATAGACATTCGTTACGCGCACCCCGGGGCCCAACAGCCAGCCATCAAGCCCGCACCTGCCGCACCTGCCGCACCCACTGATTCAGCTTCTCGACCTGCGTCTCGTCCGTCGCCCACGAGGTCACAATCCGCACGACGGTGTGGCCGTCCACCTTCTCCCACTCGTAGAACCGGATGCGCTCCTCCAGCAGCGGCAGGATGTCATCGGGGATGTGCACGAACACCTGATTCGTCTCCGTCTCGGCCGCCAGCGCGAAGCCCAGCTGCACGAAGTTGTCGGCCAGGCGGCGGGCCATCTCGTTGGCGTGGCGCGCCAGCTCGAAGAACAAGGGGGTGTCGGGGTCGCGGAACAGCTCGGCGAACTGGACCCCGATCACGCGGGACTTGGCCAGCAGCGCGCCGTGCTGCTTGATGTGGAACTCGAACCCCTCGGCGATCTCGCGGCGCACGACGACTGCCTCGCCCAGCAGGGCGCCCATCTTCGTCCCGCCCACCCAGAAGATATCCGCCAGGTCGACCATGTCCCGTAACGTGGGGACATCCGGGACGGTGGTCGCGGTCAGCGCCACGCCGAGCCGCGCGCCGTCGACGAGCATCAGCAGGCCGCGGCGGCGGCACACGGCCGACAGCGCCTGCAGCTCGGGGCGGGTGTAGACGGTGCCCAGCTCGGTGGACTGGGAGATGTAGACGAGGCGGGGCTTGGCCATGTGCGGGAAGAACTGGTTGCGGTCGAGCTCGCGCTCGAGCCGGTCGGGCAGCAGCTTGCCGCGGCAGTGCGGCACGCCGATGATCTTGTGGCCCGTCGCCTCGATGGCGCCGGCCTCCTTGCAGCTGATGTGGCCGGAGTCGACGGCGACGACCGCCTCGTAGGGCCGCAGGCAGCTGGCGATCGAGATCAGGTTGGCCGATGTGCCGCTGGGGACGAAGTGGATGGCGACCTCGTCTGGGGTGGTGTGCAGCTGCGCGTGCAGGAGCTGGCGCGCCTCGCTGCTGTAGTCGTCCGTGCCGTAGCCGGTCTGCTGGGGCATGTTGTTCCGGACCAGCGCCTCCAGCAGGCGCGGGTGCGCGCCCTCGCTGTAGTCATCCAGGAAGCTGTAGGGGGTGGAGAGTTTGACGATCATGATGCACGATCACAATCCCAGGGGTTGACGAGAAAGCGGAGGGATGGGGTAAACCGTAAAGTGAAGAATCGAAACCATCCAACAAAGAAATTTCCTTATACCATCAACCACGCGGTGAAAACGGGGGGAATGGGATTCTTTATACGTAAACGAAACCATAGCCAAGTCTGGGCCCCGAGCGGCGGATTCCCGATGGGGCTCGGGAATACACCACCAGAAAAACGCTGTGTCGGGAATAAATCGGGAATGTCTGCTCGCCCCCGAGAATCCAGTTTCGATTTGTAACACTTGAGGCGGGTCCGTCCACTCTTCTTAGCTCCAAAATGGCGTTTTCATTGCATAATCCGTTCCACGGGATTCCTCGTGTGCGAGTCAATCCTCTCCGAGATCAGGGACATTATTAATTGAACCTGGGGAGGGAAACTTGGTTAACCCCGGCGTGTTGTGGGAGTTGTGCCCATGCGTTGAGACTCGGGATGATCCTGGAATGCTTGATTGTTCCTGATCGTGCTGGTCCAATGGGCTGGGTTCCTGGGAGGGGTGAATTGAGTTGGGCTTCCTTGCTTTGAGGGGCATTGCTGATTGGGTTGCGTGGGAGAATCCCCACTTGCTTATTTTCTAGCGAGCTGGAGGGTTGGCCTTGTGACTTTGTGACTAGGTGGTTTGAGTCGCGTGGGTGTTTCAGCGCCGCTGAGGCTAATGCCAGCCCTAATTCGCCTTTCTTCTTCGAAGTGATGTGCGACAACAAACATGCTTGGTTGGAAGTATGGTGTAGGGATTCTATCTATCGATTGTCCTAGTCTTTTTTTTTGCAAGGAGCATGCACCACGTCAATACCTCCGTTTTACAGATATCAGCGTAGTGAGGGGGATTCGCAGCTGACTAGTAAGTAGCGACGCGGATGAGCAGAATGACCCCCTGAGTAGTCTTCAGAGGAGTACTCCATGGCGCCCAGTGCTTGGATGTACAGAGATCACCCTTTGCTCCGCAGTCAAGCCTGAGATTTAGACTCGATAGCGTAGGGATGTATCACCTCCATAGCACAAGTAAACCCTGGTCGATGAATAAATCCGGCTATGCCTTGAAGACAGCCGTGTCGCAATCCTCGGTTTGCGCGGTGGTGTGGAGCACCAGGATCTCGGGTTCATTGACAGCACCCGCATACCCAACGTATGTTGATCATGGCTCATCTTATGCTCGGTGCAAGCATTAGTTGTGCTCAGTTGCGATGTGGTGTGTTGTTATCTGTGAAGTGAGCTGAAATATGCTCAACACGATGCTGAGTGAAGAATGCCATCGTCCGACCATGTTCTGGCAATGAAGATATGAAATGGTGGCTATTGTATGTAGCTATAGGTATCAATGCACACCTTGTGAATCAGCCCCCATCTGCGTATGGATTTTGACAATCTCCTGATTGAAATAAGAACACTGCGGAGGCGGAGCCGGTTTACAAGTCAGGGGCTATTGGGTTAATGGGAAACCAACATTCAAACCTGAAGGTTCTGGCTATCCATTCTATCGCTCTCTCGCTCGGAAGGAAGAGGATGGAGAGAGATTGGTCTAGAGCTGGATCAGACTGATGTGCTTTTCTGGCAGAGGGCTTTCCGGTCTCTGCTGTGTTCCGGAAAAGCGCCCTGCGCTTGTACATAAATTTTACACTACTAGTCAGTTGTGATCGTCTGTATCACAATGTTCCAGTGGAGATAGCCTTCTCTTGTGATATGATGCTTGACCTGGTGTAAGATGCGGGATTTGCGGGGAGAAAGTGCATATAATGTATGGGGTATTGCTAATAATATCTCCGATCAATGTAGACATGTTTGCTGTCTATATTAAATTCGTATGGAGGATTTGCTGCGAAGTTAGGGCATGTCGTATTGAAGTCAGCATTAGCCCCAGTCTGCCAGTCATAATCAGAAACGACCGTCCAAGCACCGAGGTACTTAGTTGATCCTCTTGATTGGCCCGTAGTGCAGCTAACTGCACCGGCGCATGCGCTACTATAGAAGTGGATCAGACACCAAGCACTGAGAGGTCAATTCGCCAACGGATATGCAACTATACCAACGCAACAAGCAAGACATGCAACCCCTCTCAGCCGTGGAGGTACCCCTCCTTCCTCACATTTAATAATCCCAAGCCCTTGACAGACTTTCACTCTCTTCCCTCCCAAATACAACCCATCTGCCAGCCACAACAACGATGACCACCCCCCAAAACCATGCCCTCGTCTTCGGCGCCTCCGGCATAATCGGCTGGGCCTTCGTCAACGAGCTCCTAAACAACTACCCATCCCCCGACACCTTCTCCCGCGTCACAGCTTTCACCAACCGTCCTTTATCACCAGAAATCTCGCAATGGCCCCCCTCCAACAAACTGCATCTAGTCTCCAACCTGGACCTCATCCACAGCGACCCAGCCAGCCTGTCCACCTTCCTGCAATCCCACGTCCCCGATTTGGGAACAGTAACAACCGTCTACTTCTGCGCCTACATCTTCTCCCCAGACCCGGCCACCGAAACCGCCCACAACATCCACATGCTCCGCACCACAGTCCAAACGATTGAATTCCTATGCCCGAATTTCCGAATGCTCGTGCTCCCCACGGGCGTTAAGGTACCCCCCCCCCCTTCTGCAGTCCTATCCCCTCCTCCATATCAATACTAAACAAAGCAAGGCCTACGGCGTGCACCTCCTCACCTCCTTCCCCTTCGCCTCCCACCTCCCCCTCCGCGAAACCCACCCCGCGCTCCCCTCACCCCACGCCACGCAACTCTTCTACACGCACCAGCACGCCCTCCTCCAGGAGATGTCCGCGACCAAACAGTGGAGCTACATCGACCTCCGCCCCGACATCGTGCTGGGCTTCGTGCCCAACAACAACCAGCACAGTCTGGCGCAGTGGCTGGCGCTGTCCCTGAGTCTGTACCGGTACATCCACGGCCGGGGCGCGGTGGTGTCGTTCCCTGGCACACCGAAGAGCTGGACCGCCAGGGCGCAGGATAGTTCGCAGGATGTGATTGCCCGATTCGGGATTTTTCTTTCCTTGAAGTCAAAGGGGGAGGTAGGGGGGGAGAGCTTTAACGTGGCTGATGCGAAAGAGCCGGGGACGTGGGAGGGGAAGTGGGCGGTTCTGTGTGAGTATTTCGGGTTGGTGGGGGTGGGGCCTGAGGAGGGGGAGGGGTGGGATCCGGTGGAGTTTTTGCAACGGCATGCGGCTGAGAGGGGGCAGATGGAGAGGGAGTATGGGGTGAGGGGTGGGCATGGGACGGTCGAGGATGGGGTGAGTCTGAGCCATGTGCCTGGGTTTTTGATGAAGGGATTCGATTTTGATCGCCCGTTGGATCTGGGGAAGATGCATCGGGATTGGGGGGATGCGGCGGAGGAGAGGGATGCGCGCGGCACGTGGTGGACGGTTTTTGATCGGTATAGGGCTGCGGGGATTATTCCGGATTTTGGGAGGTGATTCTGTTCTAATGTGTTATACGGAGAGGGTGTACTGAATATCATGTGTGAACGGCACAGTATGTGTGTTAGTGAGGCGATAGGATGGGTCGAGTTATATAGGCGACAGGCTAATTAATGCCCACCCCCCCTCTCCCTCGCCAATTTCTCTCTCACCGGCGCAAAGATCTTCTCTGTCACCTCGGGCGTATGCGCCGCGAAGTACGGACTAGGCGCGATGTTCCACTCCGGCACCACGCGCCGACCCTCGGGCCCGCGCGCCCATATCTCCACCACCGCGCCCCCTCCGTACTCACCCGCTTCGATCAACTGGACCATACACTCTGCGACATCGGCGGGATCGAGCAGCTCCTTCTCCACGAGGGAGTACTGTTCCATCGCCGCCGGGCGGTCCGTGAACAGCGGCGTTCGCACGGCTCTAGTCTCTGCATTAGCAATCGCTCTAACCCGCCCATTCTTCCCTCCGTCATTTGACTCAGAGTGCACATACGCAGGACAAACAGCCGTGACCTTGACCCCCTCCATCGCCTCGTACGGTGCCATGGCCTTGACGAACCCCCACACCGCATGCTTAGCCGCCGTATACAAGGGCGCCGCTGGCGCCGCGGCGATCCCCGCCAGGGACGAGACGCAGCACACGACGCCCTTTTTGTTGGCGCGCAGCAACTCGCGTATGGCGATACGAGTCAGCTTGATGGGATGGTTGGCGTTGATCTCCATTGCGGCGTAGCCATTCTCCTCGGTATCGTCCCAGAAGTTGGACCATTCCTGTTATATCTCTGTCAGTCGCTGGAGTGTGGGGTAGTGTCTGGGAGGAAGCCGTACGGGATCGAAAACGCCCGCGGCGGCGATATACACGTCGGGCACATCGCCCCATTTGTCCAGGGAGACACGGATCAGAGCTTGGAGGTCGGTCCAGTTGCGGACGTCGCAGGGTTGGAAGAGGATTGAGGCGGTGGGTGTGCTGTTCACGAAGGTTTCAGCTGCAGGGGTGAGTTTGAGGTCCGCGATGATGGTCTTGGCGCCTTTGGAGGTGGCCAGCTGGGCGGCGGCTAGACCGATGCCTGCCACTGAGTCAGATATTGCAGTTTGGTAGAAGCGTGTCGTCAATGCAGACTAAATCCGTCTTACCAGATCCCCCGCCGGTGACCACCACGATTTTGTCTTTGACGGGGAAGTCTCCGAACATGGTGTTGAGTAATAGAGACGGATTGTACTCGTGGTGTGGAAGATGCGGGGTTCTGAGGCCTTTTATTCAGCCCGGCAAGGTGTAGTTCCAAGATTTGCAGGGCGGATCCAGGCTAGCGTCGATGCAGGGAATTGATGATCGCGTCCATCGGCAAATCATCCCTCGTTGGCACGACTGCCGATATGCACGACAAAGCACATCACGAGTCGCGCCAATCGAAAACAGCCACTTCACCAACCCGTCATCATGTGGATTCAATCACTGCAGGGCATGCATCTAGAGGAATCGGTACAGATACTCAAGATTTTCCAGACTAATCGTCGAATCGTGGGACGGCGACCACATATGATCTGTATGGCCCGCGCTGACGCTGACATTATACAACTCGTCCCCGTCCTGCAAAAAATCATCCTCGTTCGGCAGATTCAACGACAGTTGGATCGAATATGATGCATCAGCCTGCAGAACAGGTGGTACAGCCACATTACCCTCAAGATGCATATCCAATGGCGCATTGCCCCTGTTCTTGTCACTAACCTCGTCCTCATCAGGTGTAGTAATGGCTGCAGGCTTGCCGCACTCCATCAACCGCAAAGTGCGGGCCGTGCTATTGTCTAGACACCGAAAGAAGAGCTCAAGGACCCAATTCTCCAAGTCCCACGACTTTTGCAGCTCCTGCAGACCCAGCAGACAGAGTCTTGCGCGGTGTTCGGCTAGTTGGCGACCAGTCCCTGTCTCTCTCCGGAATTGGAGAGTGTGGATGCACAATGTTGAGAAGACGTGCGTGATTCTGGTCCCTTAGCAAGATCCGAGCTGGATAGAGATTCGGTCTTACAAATGAGTCGGCCCGTGCTGCACGACGTTGTGCGACAGCATGTCTTCGACGATCCTCGTGCTTCGCGTGGCAGCGTCGACAGCAATCTGACCCTCTCCCCCCGTGCCTTTCTCCGGAGAGTGAAGGAGAAGTGGTCGGTAAAGGAGGATATACAGGTTACTACGTAGGAATTAGGGGTAGAGCAGACCACTTGGAAAATGAGCCGTACTAGTAAGTCATATGTATCAGTCCCGTGAGGAATTTTGCCCGCGGAGTCACCGCACTATCCTGCCTCAGCTCCGCCGGGATACTCGATTCCCATTCAATCAGCTGCCGATGCAGGTCTTTTCGAGTCTCCTGGCTGGCTAAAGTTGGCGTGGGCGAGTACTGCGTTGCAACAATCGTGCGGACTGCCTTGTCAGCACACACATTCGTAGGGGTAACCGAAGAACGTACGTATTCTCGCAAGCTTGGCCATTTCCACCGGATACTCCACATCTCCCACCAGTTGCACCCCGAACACAGACGTGTCATCCAGCACCTCGGTCTCCCGAAAATCATCCGGCGCAAGCATAGCGACATCACAATCCTCGTCTCGGATGCGCGGCGGCAGACCCAGGGCGGCGGCACTCTGCTGATCGCGTGTCTATCCACGGCAGGTCAGCATCTCACCTCAGATGTGTGAACAGGGATCTCACATAAAGCGCCCACCAAATCCGCTTCCAAAGCCTCTCTTCCTTGGCCGACCGAAGCGAGAATTTTGCCCTGCGTCAAGTCACCCATCAGCCAGTCTCCAAAAAAGAAAGGAGGCCCCAAAGAACACAACCCACATCACATGCATCCCCCGCTTCTGCGCCAGACTGATCGCGATCCCCAACCAGAACCTGACATCCCGCTCCTCGGACGGCCCTCCCCGCCAGAAGCTGAGCAGAAACAACGTCTGCAACTTCACTGTCTTGTCTCCTTCCCAGTCCTCACCATAGAGTGCTTTCGCGCGACTGTAGAATAGGAACTTGGCCGAGTGACGATCCACGAATTCCGTCCGGGCCAAGGCATCGTCGGGGCAGAGACTCACACCGATGAACAGCATTGCGTGCAACAGCAAGGGCGAAAGGGTACCCCGGAGGTACGAATGCTGCACATCCGCCCGGTCGAGAATGGGGAAGCACGGGTGAAACCAGTTGAAGTACGCTTGTAGCAGGAGTGCACAGGTACTCGGTGGGGGGAAGGAGAATGCGCCGTCGGCTTGGAGGCGGTGCTCCATTCGCAGCTTGCGGACGCGGAGGGCTTCGTCGCGCGCGCTCGGAACATTTGAGCGCCCGGGGATGGGGTAGCAGAGACGGGTTTGTGGCATGGTGGTGGTGGTGGTTGTGGTTGTGGTGGATGTGTTCGGAGATGAGTGGCGACCCTCGTCAACAACAACGGTGAGGGGGCTAGACTCGCCCAGGAAGATGGTCTGGTGGGTGTAGTCTGCTTGCTCGGATATTAGCGGGGCCGTAGAACTGCCGAGAAGATGCCTCCGTGCTAGACTGTGCTGGTCGTTCGCTAGTGACAAGGATACTTTGTTGTCTGCGATGTGGGACGAAGGCGCAGGTGTATGCAAAGGCGTCGCGGTCTTGGGACCGTCTCTGACAGTTTTCTTACGCGGGTACCTGGTTGGAAATTAGCAATTCCACAGACTGTCCAGAACACGATGGAAGATAGAACTCACTTCCCCCGTTTCGATACGCCAATCGTGCAGGGGACATTTGTGAGAATGCAGTTGTGGCACGGGAGCGTCTCTTGGACGTTGCAGCGGATGCGGCGGCGGTTGCAGTGGAGACACGCTTGTTTGGCTCGGGTCCGGGGCTTGAGCGGGGCGGAGGTATCTTGAGAAGGCATCTTCGCGAGGAACTGAATATTACGGCATAAGTGTTACAAGAGGTTATGAGAGAGGAGAGGAGAGAGAGGAGTATGAAGGAAAGAGAAAGCATACAGCCGAGATAGGGAAGTCGGCGTCTTGTCAGTTGGCCGGCGCGGCATTCCTCGGTGTAAAGCTGGACTGCCGATGTCTAACGCCATACAATATTCACATCCAGGGTTCATCGCAATCTAATCTGACGCCTTGTAGATTAAGATCCGTCCAATTGCTAAAAGTATTTATGTTTAAAAATTACAGTGGTATGCGGCTATCTGCGGAGGAGACTGAACACCCTCTACCCAGAATTACTCTCGCTCAATCCCCAACTCCGCCAAAATGGCCTCATTATGCTCCCCCACATCCGGCACCGCATCCATCCGCACATAAAACGCCTCGCTATCATCCAGCGACATTCCCGGCGGCACCAGTGCGGGCACCGTCCCAGCCGGCGTCGCCACCGAAGTCCACCGATTGCGAGCCTTGAGCTGCGGATGCTCCCACACCCCCTGCATATCGTTCACCCGAGCATTGGCAATCGCCGCCTCATCCAACCGCGCAACCGCCTGCTCAGCAGACAATTCCGAGAATGCATCGTTGATAATCCGCTGCAGCGCGTCGCGATTCTTCACGCGCAGCGAGTTATTTTTGAACCGATCATCCTCCGCCAACTGAGGCTGCCGGAGCACCAGCCCACAGAACCTGGCCCACTCGCGCTCGTTCTGAATTCCCAGCATCACGGACTTCCCATCGCCAGCCTCAAACGGACCGTACGGATAGATCGCAGCATGCGATGCCCCGGCCGGCTTCGGCCCAGCCGCATTCCCATACGTGTAGTACAGGGGAAACCCCATCCACTCGACCATCGCCTCCAGCATCGAGATATCCAACTCACCCCCACGCTGGGCCGGGTCCCGCTCGCGGCGGTACAGCGCCGCCAGAATGCTCGAGTAGGCGTAGCTCCCCGCCGCGATGTCGGCGATCGAGATGCCCACCTTCGCAGGTTCGCCGGCAGCGGTCCCCGTCACGGAGAGCATGCCGGCCTCGCTCTGGATGAGCAGATCGTACGCCTTCTTGTCGCGGTAGGGCCCATTCGACCCGTAGCCGGAGATGTTGCACACAATGAGGGAGGGGTGGGTGGTTTTCAGGTCGGGGTACGACAGCCTCAGGCGTCCGCTGGCGCCCGGGGCGAGGTTCTGCACGAGCACGTCGGCTTTGCGCAGCAGCTGCATCAGGACCCGGTGGTCGCGCGGCTCCTTCAGGTCGAGCGCCAGGCTCTCCTTGGACCGGTTGGTCCAAACAAAGTGCGAGGCCAGCCCATTGACGCGCGTGTCGTAGTCGCGGGCGAAGTCGCCGACGCCTGGTCGTTCGACTTTGATCACCCGCGCCCCGAGATCGGCTAGCTGGCGCGTGCAGAAGGGGGCCGCGATGGCTTGTTCGAGGCTGACGACGGTGATGCCGGTGAGGGGGCCGGGTTGGCGCGAGGCGGGGGTGGTGAGGCGGCGGACGCTCAGCGGCTGGTGGGTGCGGAGGGTGCGGAGGGTACGGAGTGTACGTGACGTGTTCTGGAAAGGGGGCATGTTGTCGTCGATTTCGGATCTAGAAGAGGAATGGGTCCAGGAAGAAAGGGAGAGAGACCCTCATTGGTTTTGATATAAGACAACCGAGACCTCGGTCAACATGGCCGATCGGTAGAGCGGAGAGCATATTTGGTATATCGGCTATATGGGGGCGGCTGCCTGAGGCAGTGACCCCGCATTTGTATCCGATCTACACCTTCCATGTTTTTTTTAGATCGGAGGCCCTCATTTTTCACATCAGTTGAAACAGGCGCTCGAGGCCTATGCTCATCAGCAAGTACTAACAATAGTAACTCAAATAACATTCGAGGTACCAAACCGAAGAGAGCGAATAGGATAAGTGGAAAGTGTTATGCCGTGCATCAGAATCGTACCATCTATATACTGCCCCAGTTTAGAACGTGGTTTCCATAGGAAGCGATAAGAGATGCAATCGAGATGGCGGGGACAACTAAGTTCATGACCTGGAACCCCAAACAGCTTCTTTAGGTGCAACATCTGTGGGTTAAAGCCAGCATAGATTATGCTCGCATGAATCAAAGGTCATGTTTGAAAGTCAAAGTAAAAAAGTACGGCGATATGTGTACATCCGAACAGTAATGCACTGCACCTTTCTCTATGAGGCGAGATTCAGTATGGCATCTATATATACCAAATCGCCACACGGGCATGCATATGCTCCAGATAAGCGCACCCAAAGCTCTATCATCAGGGCAATACAAACAATCAAGTAAGCGACAACAAACCACCCAGCTCCAGTCTTCTCTCGTCAACGTGCCCAAATTTACCCCTCTTCTTCCGTCTTCCGTTCGCGGGCTTTGCGAGTCCGCCGGGCAATCACATACCAGGAGGCTAGTGTGAGGAGAGTCAGGGGCACCGCCAGGACGACAAAGATCCAGAACTGCTTGGAGATGGTAAAGCCGCCCTGGCCTCCGCCATCGAAGTCGAAAAGGTTCATCCCGAGAATTGACTGGGGCTTGATCAGTGAAACCATGTTCAATAACTAGAAGGACAGTGCAATTCTCAGGTCGTCTCAAGGGATACAGAGAGACGTAGATAATAAGAAAGGGAAAGAGGAAGGGGCTACAGGGGTCCGGAAAATGAGCTGGAAGACTCACAGACACAAAGCTCGCAGGGAGATAGATCAGCGCGACTAGCGTCATGGACTTCACTGTTGAGCTATCGTCGAATGACTCGGTGCCCAGCTTGAGCATCTGTCTGTTCACCTTGAAGTTCACGGCGACGGAGAGCTGTGCATGCCGCAAGAGCATCAAACGTGATGGTTAATGGTTCAGTCGACAGATAGTTGGATAGGGGAAGAGGGGAAACTTGTTGAGATCTTGGTTGGTGGGTGGATCAGACGGTGCCCTTTCTTTTCTTCTCTACGTACCGAATTTGCAATTCCTTGCAGCTCATTCTCCAAAATTCGCGCGCCGTGGAGGCTAGCGGTCAGATCGGCCTCGTAACTGGAAAGCTCATCGGCAAAGGTGTAACAGTCTAACACTGGCGGAACACTTGGCTCGGGATGATGCAACAACCGGTACACGTGGCTGAGCTGCTGCACCGTCTGCAACGTGACCGTGAGCCGTACAGCCAAGGAGGAGACTTTATCTCCGACGTTCTGGGGATCAAGTACAGAGCGACGCTGGATCTCCTCGTCATCATCGTCGTACAGGGGTAGCATATGCACGAGCTTATATGCAAGATGTTAGCACGGTGCTTGTATCTGTGTTCTCTTTGCTTTTCCAGAGGACCTCGCTGTCACGAGGCAGAGCGAAGAGCGAAAAGAAGGGAGAGAAGGGAAGAAAACGAAAGAGAGAAAAACGAAGAGCTTGTGAGGCAAGTGTATCAGGTACATGCAGGAGGTTTAAAAGTCAGGTGTACTGAGACGCGGGACTTCCGTACCGTGGTTTTTGTTTCCTCCCCAAGATTGGCGAGGTACTGTCTACGATTTCATCAGACGTATGCTGTCAGAATCGCCTCGGGCAACATGCACAAATCTACCAGGCAGTCGTAGTGTGCGGTACAGGTTTCCACGAATTGCTTTATTATCTGCTACAGCAGGGAATCGGAGCGTGGGCTAAGCACGATCTAAAGGTTCTTGGAGTTGGTCGGGTCCAGACCCTGGAAGATAGCGACCTGGCGAAAGGCCCAGCATTGCCCGTTAGCCTTTTCTGGCTCGGACCCGGGGTAGGTGAGCAGGTGATGTGTATTCTTGGTTGTCATAGCCAGAGTCGGTACAAAGTATGGGACTTAGTGGCTGTGAGAGTGAGGCAAGGGTGAAGATTCAAGAATCTTGTCGCAAAGGAGAACAGATATACCAATGCATCTATCGAGTCGTGGCCGAATTCGCATGACCCCGCGGCCTGCATCGGCTTTCCTCCGAATGCAAGGGCAAGATTGAAAAAGGCCGAGTCGATCTAATATGGGTCAAGTCAAGCAGGAGCTAAAAATGGATTCAGTGATGGTAAGAGGGTTGATTGATCTCGGGGACAAATAGTCCTAACACATGGTTACAAAGGTGAACAGCTCTTGCTGCACGGGCGCAGAAAGGCTAGTGTGCACTATGCGCAGGCGCGGCTTTGAGGATGTAGTGATATACCGCTCCAATGAATAGCTGTGGATGAACAGCATGGGGTGGTTGCTGTTGTTGTCATCGGCGTGGAAGACATGGGTCTTGGGATTCTCGGGGCTGGACTTCAATGCTCGGCGTCGGTGAGATGGGAAGGTGGAATGAACCGGATGACATGAGTGTGTTGTGGCTTGCATTGAATAGAAAGAGTCGTGCGAAGATGCAGCGGGTATGTTCTTTTGTGGCAGAGAGAGAGAGAATGTCCAAAATTCACCTTCTCGTTTGCCTTCTCAGATTCGACAATCTACATAGTAACACAAGAGGGATAGAATAGCAGCAACAAAACGACGCGTTATGTGAATACAGGGATAATGCCTGACAACCATCACCACAAGGCGGTATATGAGTGATATGCAGTCTATGTATGATTCAGTCAAGTGCAAGCAAGCGAGTAGACCGATAGATAGGTACTACATTCACAAGGTGGCCAAGGTACCTATTGACTAAGCCTCACTCCACGCCACTGTCTCTCAGCCTGCATATGAGAGCATGTGTGTATCTATAATGGTGCTGCAAGCCCCTCCTATGAGCTGATTATTCTTATCACGAGAGAATGTCCCTGGGTAAAAAGTGGTTCAGCACTCGTCTCCGAGCCGAAAATGGTAAAGGAGTAGGCTTACTCGATGTCGGCCTTCGAGGCGATGAAGGTCAGCCTTGCCACACAACCAGTAGACGTTATGTATTTATCTCCCCACTAGACTTACCCGCGTGACTTGTCTGGGGGCATCAAAAACATAAAAGTCGCCGCTAAGCTGTGGCAAAGTGATAGACTTGGTCAGAGATACCCCTTGCCGTCTCGACAAGGGGATCTTACCGTGACGCGGATGTACTTGCCAAAAAGCTCGTGAAGCTTGGCTTCTAACTTGGGTATCCCAACACCCTCAGTCATTTCTGGTCCCAGAGAATTGTGAACAAAGGGAGGCATGTTGGCGAGGGGCGGGGCTGTGCAAGCAGGCAAGGGCTGGGTAAGAGCTGGGAATGCTGAAGGCGATGCAATGTACGAAGGATTTTGAGCGAACGAACTCGGAGACCCACTGGGACCTACGTCCATATTTATCAGCAGCGCCTCTGAGTGCGGAGGAAAGTCTTTTCTTCGAGTTCACCCAGCATTATGCGAAGGGGATGAGGAACATTGCTATCTCCAAATAAAAGCTGCTGGTCCTGTTATAGTTCCGGGTTCTTTGACGCCAACGTCGGGGAAAGATGTAGTTTACGTGCCCTGAAAAGTGACTAGGGAATCTGCCACTGGCAGTGATTACTGCAGGATCCGCCTGTCACTTGGCACGCACAGATCCCAGTCACAACAAATCAGAATGTAATGCTCACAGCCACTGCTATATTAGCGGAGAACAGGACTCCGTCTCAATCGTCGACGGGTCAAGCAGCCACACCGATGCGCAGTCTGCCTTCTCAGCGCTAACTTTACCTGCTAGTAGTCCTTTCACATGTAAAGCAACTTAACCTACAGGAACCTTTCTACAAAGGTTCGAGTTTAACACTAGGTAAACTTCAATCAATCGTTGAACAGATCGCTTCCTCGATTAGTCACCTTGTAATAATATAATATCTTGCCACGGCTTGGGGAAGGAATATGCTGGAGCAAATGGTCGAAATATGACAGTGAACAAAGATACAGTACATACCTCATATCACAGATATGAGCATCCGCAATTGTCCGGTTGGCGTGTGGAAGATTCCCGACCAATGGACCTTTGAGCGCAGGAATGCGCTTTGCATGTTCTCGATCTCTAAGACTCGAGAGAAAACGCAGGCTTCAACGCCCCGGTCTGTTGATTGATGTGAGCCCACGCCAGCGAGTCTTTGAGAGGATCAAAATACATACTCCCAAGGGACGGCTAGTCAATCCCAAGCAAACAGCTCGCAGGTGTTCCGAAATAGTGACAGCCATGACTATTTGGTAGAAAAGCAATAGGAAGAAAACACACATTTCCAAGTATACACTCTGCCCTGTGTATAGAACAAGTTGATTTCTAATATCCGGGGTCGGCCTCAACTGCCGAATTAATAATAGACCGAGCCGTGGAATTACGCGATCCGCTCCCCACTTGGCGTGGACTGGCGTCATTCCGCGGTTATTAATTCTCCCCGCAACCCCTCAACTTTCCACCTTTCTTCCCCTCAACACACACCATCGCCAGAACATTCACAAACTCAGGAAAATGTCCCCCAAGATCACCCTCTACACCAACCGCCTCTGCCCCTGGGCTCACCGGGCGCACATCGCCCTCATCGAGCTGGGCATCGACTACGAGGAGGTGACCATCGACCTGGACACCCCGCGTGAACCATGGTATCTTGAAGTCAACCCGGTACGGCCATATCCCTAGCTCTACAATCTGAGTGCTTCTCAATACTAATGCCCTTCAAGCGCGGTCTCGTCCCCGCCCTCTCCTACAACGGCACCATCATCCTCGAATCCGCCATCATCGCCCAGTTCCTCGTCGACGCCTACCCCTCCCACATCCTGCCCCCCTCCAACACCCCCGAGGGAGCTCTCAAACGCGCCCGCACCACCTTCTTCGTCGACACCTGGGCCAACAAGGTCTCGAGCCTGTACCACGCCACCCTGCGCGCCAGCGACGCCGACCGCCGCGCCTCCAGCGACGCCTTCGTCGCCGCCGTGAAGAAGGAGATCGAGCCGCTGATCTACCCGGCCCACACCGCCGGCCAGGGCCCCTACTTCGAGGGCAGCGAGAAGCTCACCTTCGCCGAGGTGCTGCTGGGCTCGTTCCTGCTGCGCCTGTTCTCCCTGGCCAAGCCCGAGTACGGGCTGTTCCCCGCGGACCTGGTGCAGACGCTGGAGAAGGAGACGCCGAACTTCAAGCGGTGGGCGGAGGCGACGATCGCGCACCCGAGCGTCAAGGCGATCTATGATGAGGAGAAGGTGGCGACGCGCACGGTGCGGAGATATGGTCAGAAATAGGGGGTGCGGGATGGGGTGCGACGCACGCAGGGGAGTCGGTTGTAGTGTGCACTGCAGGGTGGGGGGGCCGGTTTTTGTACTTGGGTAGGATCAAGGTTCGGCAGAACCGGGAAAGTCAGTCTGGAGGTTCCCGGTTGCTCCGTGATGTAACCTTATCGTGCAGCCCGCTAAATATGCATTACTTCATTGATGACCTCAGTTGCGTCGGCGGTGGTCGGTGCTATTACCTTGCACATGATAAGAAAATGTATAAACAATGGTCGTCGGTCGGGTGGTGAGTAACACAGGGCAGAGGTTCCGCAACATGAAGTCCAAACCACCCAGCGTGATTATCGTCGGTAGGTTACCATTTCCCTCCCCTTTGTATTGCATTGCAAATTTAATATCATGTAGGTGCAGGCGCCGGCGGAATAGCAACCGCCGCCCGTCTGGCGAAACGAGGGTACCAAGTGACGGTGGTCGAGAAGAACGACGCCGTCGGGGGACGATGCTCGTTGATCGAGGAGAATGGCTACGTTCGCATCCTTTCTCTGCTTCAATCAACTGCACACCACTAACTCCAAGCTGCAGCGCTTCGACCGCGGCCCCTCCCTCCTGCTCATGCCCGAATACTTCGAAGAAGTCTTCGCCGCCCTCGACACGACCATGGCCGCCGAGGGGGTCGAGCTGCTGAAATGCGACCCGAACTACCGCATCTACTACGCCGACGCCTCCCCACCGCTCGACATGTCCACCGACATGGCAGCCATGCAATCCGTGGTTGAGGCGCACGAAGGCCGATGGGGCTGGGAGCGCTTCCTGCAGTTCCTGGTGGAGGCCGGCCGGCACTACAACCTCTCGCGACAGCACGTGCTGTACTCGAACTACCCGCACGTGTGGAGCATCGTGAAGCCGGGGATGATCCGCAACACGTTCCGACTGCATCCGTTCACGAGCGTGTACGCGCGGGCGGCGCATTATGTCAAGTCTGAGCGGCTGCGGCAGGCGCTCACGTTCGCGAGCATGTACCTGGGGATGAATCCGTTCGAGGCGCCCGGGACGTATTCGCTGCTGCAGTATGCCGAGTTCGTGTACGGGGTGTGGTATCCGCGGGGTGGGTTTCGACGGGTGAGTATGCCTACTAGTCCATACCCCTACCACCTTCCTCAACAATCTACCTATTTACCTACCTGGCTCGCCAGCCCTAACTCCCCGCATCCACCTTCATGCAAATACTAACGAGCAAAGGTCCTCGACGCAATCCACGCCATCTCGACCCGCCACGGAGCGACCTACCGGCTCAACACGCCCGTCTCGCACATCACCCTCTCCGCCGACCAAAAGACCGCGACCGGCGTCCAGCTCACCACCGGCGAGACCCTCACCGCAGACACGGTCATCATCAACGCCGACCTGATCTACGCCTACAACCACCTCCTCCCGCCAACCGCCTACTCCGCCTCCCTGACCCACCGCGAAACCTCATGCAGCAGCATCAGCTTCTTCTGGTCCTTCAACACCCACCTCCCCCCGCTAGAATCACACAACGTCTTCCTCGCCGCAGAATACAAAGAAAGCTTCGACGCGATCTTCCGCGAAAAGCACCTCCCCGCCCACCCAAGCTTCTACCTCCACGTCCCCAGCCGGGTGGACGCGACGGCCGCCCCGCCCGGCTGCGACGCCGTCGTCGTCCTCGTCCCCGTCGGCAACCTGGACCCCTCACCCTCCGCCCCTGACACGGCCACCCTAAAATCCCGCCCGGAATACTGGGACACCGTCGTGGCGCAGCTCCGCGAAACCATCCTGACCACGCTGGCGCAACGAACCGGCGTGTCCGACCTACGCGCCCATCTCGTGCACGAACGCCTCGAGACCCCGCTGACCTGGCGCGAGAAATACAACCTCGACCGCGGCGCGATCCTGGGTCTGTCGCATTCGTTCTTTAATGTGTTGGGCTTCCGGCCTAAGGTGCGCCATCCGGATATTCGGGGGTTGTTTTTTGTGGGGGCCAGTACGCATCCTGGGACGGGGGTGCCGGTTTGTTTGGCGGGGAGTCGGATTGTTTCTCAGGAGGTTATTGGGGATTT